TTATATATGGAAGTGTATACACTATGTGTGTATATGTGTATATATACATATATAATATGTGTATACATATATGCATATGTATAATATTACAAAATTTTTTTTATTGGAAAGTCAGGTTTATAGAGAGAAGGAGGGTCAGAAAGATCTTCCCACCTTCTGATTCATTCCCCAAGTGGCCGTAAAGGGCATGGGCTGAGCTGATCCGAAACCAGGAACCAGGAGTTTCTTCTAGGTCTCCCAGGTGGGTGCAGTCTCCCAAGGCTTTGGGCCATTCTGGACGGCTTTTCCAGGCCACAAGCAGAGAGCTGGTTGGGAAACGGATTAGCCGGGACACAAATTGGTGCCCATATGGGATCCTAGATACAAGGTGAGGATTTAGCCATTAGCCTATTGTGCCAGGCTCAATATAATACTTTTTATGTATATAGTTTAAACTATAGATGCCATATTACTTGGGACACAGACATTTATAAATGTCTTCATTATATCCTCCTTTCCTCATTTTAGGGTCTTCATCTGAAATTCTACATTATGCCATTGTAAGTCTCCACCCCTGCTTCCTTGGTGCTTTTATTTCCTTAGCGTATATTTAGTTCTCAGGCTTGACAAATCTTTTTGATTGGCTCTTTTACATATAGAATACAGTTAGACTTTTATCCTGATATTTTTATTTCAAAATAATATTTTTTAAAAAGAGGACTTGCCAGTGGCCACTAGCCCAGGATCATCAGAAACACTGAGGTCAAGCCAGGTTAGTGACTTGTAAATGAGAGCCTGGACAACGAGGGGACCTCAGTGACATCCAGCAGAAGGGTATTGGGAGATTTGAGAGATTTGTCAGCTGCACAACCCCAACTTTAGGGTGATCCAGCCATCTGGTTTACCTGGGAGAGTTGAAGGTTATGGCTGTTGTGTGATGATCAGACATTTAGTTTTGACATCATCTTAGAAATTTTGCTAGTCATACATTTTTTTTAACTACATAGTTGCTGAGCATGTAGTAAATATTTGGTATATTTTATCGCTAAGCAGATTTGTTTACTTTTTCAGAATTGTTGGTGCTAATTCTAATTCGCGCTGCAGTTAGAAACACTCAGCTTCTGACATCGGAAAATTAGAAATCATTGAGAAAATGCATTGTACAAATGTTTGTTGCAGACATGTACTTATACATGACAAAGAGCATGGGTTTCTTGATTTCTATCAGTTACTGGAAGCATTTCTTAGCTGTACAATCTGAGAATAGATTTTAAGTGGAGAAAATAATTCATATGACATTCATGTTTTTCTCAGGTTTCTCATTGGGTATTTCAACATAGATGGCCCTAAGGCATGCGGTGATCAAGTTTAATGGATTTGCTAGGATTTTCATTGTCTTACTCAGCTGTTCAATTCTCCTGGTCATAAGTCCGCCTCTAGAGGTTTTGTCTTTTCCATCGTGAGTCCATTACCCTAGGATGGCAGGGATGGGAGAGCAGCGATTATGAAAGCAGCCTGGGGCATAGTGTGTTTAGTGCAGCTGCGATGGGAACCTCCACTATCACTGATGAGAGCGCCCCATCCCTATGGCTGGTGATGCTGTTCATTTTCTGCTACGTGTGTGCCTGTGAGGGGCAGAAGGAGACGGCGCTGACACGTTAAACAGCTGCTTTGGTGGCATAACTCAGCAAGGCTGGGAGAACTGTTTTCCTGACTGCTGCAACACAAGGAAAACCTGCCAAATTCCATCTCCAGGGAGACTCAAGCGGTTACCTTGGCAGTACAATCCCTGTTGGTGAGCCTGATGCCTTTGGCTTGTGCTGTTTGCCACACACACTTTACAAGGTAGTCACAGAATTGTAGAGCACTGGAAGCTTTCCTGAGACTACCTGCCAGTGATGTCAGGAACAGAATCCCTATTACTGTCTGCGGTGTCAGGATACTGGCCTGACAATTTGAGAAAGAGGTATGTTTCCATTGGACCGTTAAATGATTTTTCTTCTTCAGCATGAGTCCAGAATCAGAAAGGTTAAGTCGAGACTATAGCAAAACCAGCCCTCTGGAACTGATGTTTCAGGTTACCTCTAACTGGTACTGTGTCCTTCCATGTAGCCCCCTTCAGTCTTCATTCTAAAGCATTTAGATGAGACGAGTGTTTTAAATGCAAACCTGGTATTGTCATGCCTGAACTTGTGGAATTGAACCCAGATGACTTAGCAGTCTTCAGGGCCTTGCTTGCTCTGGCATCTGCCCACCTCTGCACCACCCTCTCTTAGTGGTGCCTCTACACATCTGGTGTTGACCACAAACCTCTAGGCCCAAAGTTCCTCCTCCATACCCAAGCTTTGCATGCAGCCCCTCCTCAAATCTTCCATGAAGCAAGATCTGGCTTCAACTTCTGGTCCATTCCTATAGAAATTCCTTCTGGATCTTTCCTAAGGGGTTGCCCCTCCCATATGGTCTCTTAGATTAACTTACTATAGCACAGTTTCTTGTGCTGTTATTCATTTTTAGTATTTCCCACTGGTGCACTGTCTGTGGTTTTTATCTGTCAAGTCTAAAATAATACAGAATGTGTTGTTTAAGGTCAGGAACAATGTCTTGTCCAAAAGTGTAGGGAAGCTTATGGAATTGGAAGCTAGAAATATGAAGTCTGTTCTTGGCTCCAAATTGCTAATTCTTTCTTATTTTCCTTTCCTCCAGCTATCACCTACCTGCTGTCAAACAGTGATAGGTTTGGGGAAGAATCATCCTGACCCTGGCTCTTCTTCCGCCCTGAAAAGATAGGATAGACATTCTGACATTTTGATTCAAAGATCAAAAATCATGGAATCTTTGAAGATCGTGATGTACATTTGTACATTTCTCTTTGGACCAATGAACTCTTCTTAGAATAAAGATCACCAAACATTACCTGTAGAAGTCCACGTAGTATGGTTGAGCATTCCTCGTCTACAAATACAAAATATAAACTGCTTCAAAAACCTTGAAGCCCTTGAGATTTTGGATTTTCAGAATTAGGGTACTGAACTTACACAAATATTTCCAAGTCTGGAAAAATCCAAAATCGTCAAAACTTCTGGCCTAGAGCATCTTGGATAAGGGATAGCCAGCTGTATCTCTGTCTCCTGTTTGCTTTGGTCTAGTTTTATAACCTTCTAAAAACATGAAAACTGATCTTGATTCTGAGGCCATGGACAAGGATTTACCTAGCGCTGTAACTTACTAACTGGTTTTAGAGCATGGTGTCAATCTTTGGGTATTTAACTTAGCATTAATGATGCATATTCTTTGCTTCATCTTATAATTCCCCACTTTTTCTCAATGAGGCAGTCACAGCCTCTAGGAAGATCTCAAGTTTTTTTTTTCTCCTTCTCTCCTTACCTTCATACTTTGCCTGTCACGTGCCTACTTCTCCCTTGTCCTCCTCTTCTAGTTGTTTTTTAAATGGCTAAGAGCACAAGGCTTCCTTTTGATAGTTATTTTTTTTTCTTTTTAAAAAATATTAACACAAAGAGAACAGATTTCATAGGTACAGTTCTAAAAAGTTAATATTTCCCTCCCCAATCAAAAAGATTTGACTAGAATTGATTTCTATCAGCAAGTTTCTCATTTTTATGAATATGCTATGCCACACTAGATTCATGAGCAAAATATCTTCAGGAGATTTGTGAGGCATTTGTAGAAAATGTGTCCTGGGAAATTAAATTCATCCTGACTCTCATTCTGCCACCTGTGTGGACTGTCACTTGCAGGTGCGCTGAGGCAGAAACCAAACCTGGGAATGACAAGGTGATTCCCACGATATCATCTGTTCTCTGGCTCTGCTAGGAAACCCAGAATATTAATTGTGGGGACAATAATTTGCCCATTGAAAAACTGTGTTTCCTAACGAATGAAGAAGGAAAGTTGACACTGGCACACTTTCAGCCATAGCCTTCAGTGCCCAATATCCCATATGGGGATCAGTTCAAGTTCCAGCTGCTCCACTTCCAATCTAGCTGCCTGCTAATGTGCCTGGGAAAGCAGCAAAGATGACCCAAGGCTGGGGGGAATTTAAAAAATAATGTGGTAAATGATCTCTTGAAAGACAATTAAGTGTTAAGAACTAAGTTTCAGGCATAAGTTACAGATTTTGGTTCATGTGCAAGTATTTGTTCATTAACTTCAGCAAATGTGCTACATTGATGTAAGATGTTAACAAAACAAACAGAGCTGAGAGATGGGTAAGAGAATTGTTCCAAAAGTTCATGGACAGTGTATACTGTGAAAAGTTATGCATGAATTTTTTTTAAGAAATGTACTGAAACAAACTTATTTGTTAATTCCATTTTGGAAAGTTTATTTATTATATAAAAGACAGAGTGGTAGATCTTTTATCCACTGGTTTTCTCCCCTTATGGTCGTAATCAGCAGGACTAGGACAAGCTGAAGTCACAAGCCAGAAGCACCACTTAGGTCTCTCATGTGAATGGTAGGAACTCAAGTACTTAGACCATTTTCTGCAGCTTCCCTAGTGCATTAGCAGAAAACTGGGTTGGAAAGGAACAGCCAATGCTCACATGAGTTACAGGCATCGCAAGTGGTGGCTTAACAGGCATCACAACACCAGCCGTTTATTCTACTGCTCCTAAAACTTGCTGAAATCCTCCCTGTTTCTCTGTAACTCTATAGAAACCTGTTCTTAAAAGACAAGATTATTAATCTAAAAAAAAAATCTTTCCTAAATGAATCAGTTCGCTAGGGTTGCCGTAATAAAATACCCTAAACTGGGTACCTTACATAAGTGATTGCATCACAGTTCTAATGGTGAGACATCCAATGTCAAGGTATTTGTCAGGTTGTTTTCTTCTGAGTGCCCTGAGAATAAGATCTATTACCAGTCCCTCTCCCTTTATGCAAGGTCCTGCCACCCCTGTGGGAGATCTGGGTGCATCGCACTGCCTCCTCTTTTTACAGTATTTTCCCACATACCACCTCTGATTGGCCGTGTGCCAACGTGTCCCGGGTCTGTCCTGCAGGGAGAGTCAACAGCTGCAGCTTCTGTACCTGGAGTGCATTCTGTCTGTCCTCACCAGCTCTTCCTCATCCATGCACCTGCACAGGGGCTTCACAGACCTGATCTGGTGAGTAGATCCCTGGCACACCCACCCACCATGGGCTGCTCCCCGCCTTCTGTCTCGGTCCCTTCCCACAGTGTTCCTTGACCTGCCAAGAATTCCATCTGGGCATGCCTGTCGTGGAGGGAGAGAAGCAATTTTTTTTTTTTAACCTGAATCAGAGCCAAATTCAGATAGAAATAGATGGTGATGAGCAAAGATGCGTCCAAGTCCCTCATTCATTTTGCTTATATCATAGAATCGTGAGAGATGAGACGGGGGTTCACTGCGTTCTTGGTTCGTAAAAGCGGATAAAGACAGACCTGTCTGCAGGAGGCATGAGATGCCGAATGTTACTGCCAGCCCTACCCTAGACCACTCTGTGTTTCCACCTGAGGGCCAGCCACTCACTCAGTGAGACGTCCCCAGAAGTGGCAGGTGCCTCAGGCTGCCAGGGAGTTGCTCTCAGCCCTTTGGTTTGTGGTTGGAAGGAAGCTGACGGGCAGTGTCATTTCAGAATGTGAAATTGGTTATGAGTGAGAAATAATGTCATAATTAGTAGTAAAAAGAATTTTATAGCTCAGACAGCACGTTTTAATTAATTAATTAATTATATTTATTTATTGAGAGCCAGACAGGAAGAAGTTGGTACAAAATGACCACTGCAGCATGGACTGGGTTAGGCTGATGCCAGAAGCCAGGAACTCAATCCAACTCTCCCAGGTGGATGGGCAGGGCCCAGCCACTTGAGCCATCGTCACGGCCACCCAGGGGCTCCTGCAGGAGCAGGGGGCTTCAGGCAAGAGCAGAGCCAAGGGCTCTACCCAGACACTCCAGTGGGGGATGTGGGCCTCCTAACCAGAAGCTGCACACCCCCTCCCAGCCATGTTGGCATTTTGCATTCATTTCTAAACTTGGGGAGTTTTCTTCGTGCTTCCCTTGAATTAGTTGACCTTTGCTAAGACAGCCAGCAAAAATGGAGACAGTAAATCGGCAGAACACAGCTCTTTTGGTCATTGCTGTGGCCTTTCTCTTGGCAACTGCCTTTTAATTTAACTCCCAACCACCTCCCTGTCTCTTTCTAGGAAAAATCTGTGCCCTGCCCTCATTGTCATCCTGGGGAACCCCATTCACGACAAAACCATCACGTCTGCCCACAGCAGCAGCAGCAGTGCCAGCGTGGAGTCGGACTCTGTCACTCCCGGCGTCGCTGACCATGGCCGCGGCTCTGGCTGCTCGTGCACCGCGCCTGCGCTGAGCGGGCCTGTGGCTCGCACCATCTATTACCTTGCAGCCGAGCTAGTGCGGCTGGTGGGGTCACTGGACTCCATGAAGCCGGTGCTGCAGTCCCTGTATCACCGAGTGCTGCTCTACCCACCTCCTCAGCACCGCGTGGAAGCCATCAAAGTAATGAAAGAGGTAGGGAAGCTAGTTGGCAAGGGGCACCACCCCCCAGTGTCTTGTACACAGGAAATTTCCGGAAATGTTTCTAATTTTTACTGGAACTTCTAGCTCTTGCATGCTTCCCAGTAACTCACAATCTCTCTATAGTCATTGCTCATGTATGTGTTGGGGTGGAGAAGGTCCTGGAACAGGGGGCATTGAGGATGCTCATTGCCGCAGGGTCCCCCCTGAGATGCTTCATATTTGTTCTTGCCAAAACTGTATTAGATGTGTGCCTGCTGATGCCCCGGGCTGAAATTTACATCTGCTACCATAGGTATTATTTGTGCAGATAAATATGTTTACCTGCTTTGGCCGAAACTGGACCTGAGAATGATTTTATGCTCGGGTTGTACAATCTCCAAAAACAGAGTCTGCCCAAATGTGGCTGCTAAACAGAAAACATTTCTCCAGAATGTCATGACCCGAAAATCTCTCCCAAAGTTGACCTCTTGAGATAGCTATTGCAGTGTGCTGCTTCCTGGGTTTGAGGCAGAATTGTAGTTATTTTGAACTTACTTCATTCAAGGATTTCTGTTTCTTTCAAAAAGCTAAATAGGAAAGTGATGGCATTATTTGTATTTTTGAACTTTGAAGGTCAAACTTAGTTCCTTTGGGAATTTAGCCACCCCTTTAAACTATGCCAAATCATAATCATAATCTTCCTTTGCTGGTGATTTATTTATTTTCTTAAAGATTTACTTTATTTGAAGGACAGAGTTACAGAGAGAAGGAGAAATAGAGGGAGGGCAAGACCAAGATCTATTCGCTGGTTCACTCCCCACATGGCTGCATGGCCAGAGTTGAGCTAGTCTGAACCCAGGAACCAGGTGCTTTTTCTGAGTATCCCACATGGGTACAGGGGCTCAAGGACATGGACCATCCTCTACTGCTTTCCCAGGCACTAAGCTTTTCCAGCACTAAGCTGGATTGGTAGTGGAGCAGCCAGTACAAGAACCAGCTCCACAATGGCTCATTGGCTAAATCCTCACCTTGCAAGTGCCAAGATCCCGTATGGGCACTGGTTGGTGTCTTGGCTGCTCCACTTCCCATCCAGCTCCATGCTTGCAGCCTAGGAAATCAATAGAGGATGTCCCAAAGCCTTGGGACCCTGCACCTATGTGAAAAACAAGGAAGTAACTTCTGGCTGCTTGCTTCGGATAGAATTGGCTCTGGCCAATGCAGACACTTGGGGAGTGAATCAGCAGAAAGAAGATCTTCCTCTCTATTTCTCCTCCTCTCTGTATATCTGACTTTCCAATAAAAATAAATCTTTATAAATAAATAAATCTTAAAAACAAAATCTAGTGCCCCTAAGGGATTATAGGCACTTTAGGTGGAAGTTTAGCTTGCTACACCATAGCAATGATCCCATGACTCATCTACTTCTTTTTATTTAAGATTTTATTTATTTTTATTTAAAAGGCAGATTTACAGAGATAAGGAGAGACAGAAAGATAGAGGTCTTCTATCTGCTGGCTAACTCCCCAAATGGCCTTAGCAGGTGGAGCTGAGCCAATCTGAAGCCAGGAATCAACAAGGAGCTTCTTCCAAGTCTCCCTCATGGATGCAGGGTCCCAAAATTTGAGCCATCTTTTACTGCTTTTCTAGGCCACAAGTAGGAAGCTGGGAGTGGAGCAACTGGGACATGAACTGGCACCCATATGGGATGCCAGTGCTGGCAAGCTGAGGATTAGCCTGTTATACCACTGTACCAGCCCCAGATTTGTTTATATTTGTGCAGTATTTATTATCAACCAGTTTGTCTGCTTGTTTGAAAAGCAAATTTACAGAGGTTGTAGGAGATAACAGAGAGAGATCTTTCATCCACTGGTTCACTTACCAAATGGCTATAGTAGCCAGTGCTGGGTCAAGGCCAAACTCCCACCTGAGTTTCCTATATGGGTGGCAGGGCCTAAAGTTCTTGACACATCTACTGCTGCTTTCCCAGGCTCATGAACAGGGAGCTGGATCAAAAGCAGAGCTGGCAGAATTCAAACCAACCCTTATATGGGGTACTGTCATCACAAGCCACAGTTAACTGTGCCATAATGGCAGCCCCACAACTATTTTCTGTGATGTTGAACTTCAATTGATTGCTGGTGTTGTTTTCATGAGATTAGACTGCATGGGACAAGAGGAAGTTCTGGTCCAACATTTCTAGAAATGGAGTCATTCAGATTTAATTGTCAGTTATGGAACCCTAAGCACACCATAATAAGCCCCACTTCTAAAACTTATATCTAATGTGTAAAAGATATTTCACCTTTAAGATCTTTAATATTCAGAAATTTATGAAGTTGTGTATCAACCTCATTTTTACCAGTGAACAACATTCCTTTTCCCCAACAGAGTGTCAGGCAGTGGAGGGCGAAAGCCCAGCTGTAAGAACTGGTCACTTCACATAGTGAAGACAGATGGTTGAGCCAAGAGAACACAAGACCAAGTCATCATCACCCAGACAGCTGTGAGCCACCACTCAAAGGCCAACCCCTGCCCAGTTAGACTCATAGCCTGGAAGATCAGGCCAGCCTGCCCAGAATAGAGTGATCTTTGGGAAGAGGATTGAAGAAGGACTCACCATCCCCATTGTGCTCCTTCTCCCAAATTCACTGGCCAGGTGAAGTGCTCCCCTGTGCAGTAAGTAAGTAAGAGGAGGGCAAAAGAAAGGAGCAAAACCTTATTTTCCTGGAATATTTTTCCTTAGGGAAACATGATGCCAGAGAAAAGGAATTACCTCCTGCAAAAAACTAAGGCATGACCACGTCAAATAATTGCCCAAAGTCCTCAAAAAAGAGAACAGGTGCAAACCCTTGTCCCTAATCTCAAAGCCCATGGTTATGTCCTATGCCACACTTGGTTCTAGTTCTGACTGTCTTATTGCAGCGTAAGCAATACCAGGAGCTCTTTGGCCATCATCTCTGTGAGAGCCCAAGTCCCAGAGGCAGGCTTTTGTCCTGTCTCTGCCATTTACCTGCAGATTGGGGCAACAGTAAGTTAGTCGCAGAATTCTGAACATAACATTTTCCCATCTGTAGGTTGTTAGAACATTCCACTTTTCAAAGTTCAGCATTGTTTAAAATGCAGTGAAGTTTGTAGAAGTAACAAAGTGCAAATATATCTGGTGTGCTTAACACTACCCTAGGGAAGAGAAAAGCACAGCATATGGAGCCTGGAAATAGCTGGTGCTGTTCTGGCAGGCCTCCCTCCCTCCTGCCTATCTGTTCTTGACCGTTTGTCTTCACTGGACTGACCACTACTAACAGGCGTATCGTTGCACAGGGCACTCTCACAGCTCCTTGTTGCTCCTCCCATCAATTCTGAATTGCTCAGCTCAGTCTTCAGACTCATCTACCATCATTCTCATTTCCCAGGATGCACCTCCATTTCATCCATTCAACCCCCATCTTTCTCAATTTCCACCATCCTGCTTTTCTTCACACTCCCTGCTCTTTTACTCCCATGGGCCACTTCCATTCCACAGAGTGGAAGGGTGGTTACACCAGGGTAAGCACTACTGGGATTTCACATTAGCTCATTTACAAAGTCTCTTGGGAAGGATATTATATCCATTGTTCAGATGGGAATTTGAGGCTCAGGGAAGAATTCAGTGGTCCTATGTACACAGTAGCTCTAAGAGGTGAACTCAAGTATGCTCAGTACAACTGCTTGTATGCTGTGAAAAATCCTCCTGTGCTTTAATTGTGCTTCCTCAAACTACTCATGTTGCTCTTACTTAAATCCGTGTCCATCATTTAGCAACTGGCTGTGTGTCCTGTTGACCCAAGGTTCCACAGTACAATATAGAGTAAGCGTTTTATCTCCTCACATGTATTTGTGTACATGGCATGCTCTCCCCTAGTATTTAACTCTGCATGTGTTGAATTCATTTTGGCTGAATGGCAGAAGAACCTGGACATGTGTGTGAAGAGCATATTTTTCAAGCAAGCTTCCTTTTGCCCTGAGGACAGACAGTCCTGGGCTTGTTGCTGCCCTGGTGGAACCACTTTGTACCAGCATCCTAAGCAAATATTTGGCACATGGGATGGGCAAATGTCTTTGTGACTCTTACTTCTTGACTATAAATGAGATTAGAGATGCTTTCTCTTCTGTCATAGAGTCTCCCATACCCAGGCCCCTCTGCAGAGGTCAAGCTGGAATTAGACTCCAGCCCCTGGGTAGTACATGTGGCCAGCACTACCCCCTTGAAGCCCTTGAAGCCCTGTAGATGTATTGGGCTAAGTCATATTGAAAAGCAGCCCCCTCACTTTAGATGAAAAAGTCAATGATTTGAGAACGTTGGTAACCTAGGTACCAAAGTGCACAGGGCTCATACACGCAGAGGAAATCACTATGCACCCAGGATATTTGCTTAGCCTTTTGGAGTTTGAATGCTTGGCCTGTTATCCTGCAGTTTTCTTTCTAGTATGTTGCTGTGTCACATTCAGATCATTTTGCTTCCAAGGTACATTTTTCTTTGATGAACAGCTGTGAAAGATTTTGCCTGTTTATCTCTCTGTGTCTTCCTGCCCACTGGCCTGCCACCTTCCTCTTCCTCTCTTCCTCTCACTCCATCTCAGTTCAATTTTAGAAGGAATCACCTGGTCTTGGTCAGATGTGGGACATCACCTGCTCAGCCCACACCCACAAGGCCACTTGAAGGAGAGGTTTAAAAGATCTTGCCTTTCTTTTAGGATTCATTAATTGCTCCATTCCCGACCCTACCCCCACTGCCAGTGATTGAAGCATTTCTCAATTAAATGCAAGGGCAACATGGGAATTAATAGATATTCTCTGATTTGTTGCTGGTGAATTTGTGGAGAGATTCCAAGAGAAGGTGAGTTTCCCTGCTTTAGTGACTTAGGAATGCACTCCCATTGCAGCAAAAGGTGAGCCTGCAGAGAGAGAGAGAGAGAGAGAGAGAGAGAGAGCGAGAGAGAGAGAGAGAGCAGTGAATGTGCTTGATCAGTGTTAACCCTCACACTATCATTTTTTAATGTCAAAAATGAAATACGGAAAAAATTGGAAGCTCCATTTCTGTACTTTCAAGACAGCAAAAGCTTCCTGTTACCATAGCAAAAGGGAAATATGGAAACAGAGCCCCTTAACAATTTTTACTTATGCCTTTGAAGATGAATGGTCAGAGAAACAGAATGTGTGCTCCACATACACTTCATTAGCCAGTTTCTCCTGGAATTAATTTAGCCTCAAATTAAAATGTTCTGTAAAGACTTCTGTCATATGGACATATAAATCGGTTAAAGCAGAACAATTATGAAAATCCTATATATGGAAATGTGGGAGAAAGTAGCTGAAGCAGTGCCTGGAAGGATATTTATAGCTTTAACTGCTTATACTGAGAAGTAGCAAGCCTAAAATTAACTTCCCAATTAACCAGCTTAGGCAGTTGTGGAAAAAAATGAGCAGTATAAATTCAAATAATTAGAAAGAAGAAATAAGGATAAAAGCAGAATATACATAATAAAACATAAGCACAATGTAAGGGACCACCAGCTGTTAAACAACGTGTTGGGATTCTGAAGATACTCAGAAAATTGAAAAAGAAATTCTATGAAGAGCAACTAAAATAATTCCAGTACAGGTTGAAATCCACAGAAATAGGACCTGGCATGATGGTCTTAGTGGCTAAGTCCTCACCTTGAACGCTCCAGGATTCCGTATGGGTGCTGGTTGATATCCAGGCTGCTCTACTTTCCATCCCGCTCCCTGCTTGTGACCTGGGAAAGCAGTAGAGGATGATCCAAAGCCTTGGGACCCTACACCCACATGGGAGACAGGGAAGATGCTCCTGGCTCCTGGTTTCAGATCAGCTTAGCTCTGGCAGTTGTGACTTTAGGAGTGAATTAGTGGGTGGAAGATCTTTCTCTCTGTATCTCCTCTTTCTGTAAATCTGCCTTTCCAATAAGCATAAAGACATCTTTAAAAGAATCGCAGAAATAAAACAGGAAAAAGTTCTCTCAACTGCAACTGCTATGAACATTAAAGGAATGGAAGAGAGTATCAGAAGAGCTTTTCGACTATTACATTGAAAAAAATTAAGGCAAAGTCGATTAATTCTTGAGAAATAATTCTTGTATTTGTGATTTGAGAGAAAGGGCAGGAAGAGATCGCATCCAGTGATTGACTTCTCAAATACCAAAGAGCCAGGTCTCCCACATCCGTGGCAGGAACCAACAATATGCTCTCTCAGCTTCCTCCCAGAGTATGTCTTAGTGGAAAGCTGGAATCAGGAGCAGAACTGAGACATGGACCGAGGCACTCTCCCTGGGGCTGTGAGCAGACCCATAAACATCTTAGCCACACCACCATCCTAACGCCCACCACCGAGATAATGCAACTTCTGACAAACTGTATCCAGGAGAAATGGAAGACCTGAATAGTCTCAATCATTTTTAGAGATTGAATCAGTATCTTACATATTTCCCTTAAACAAAAAAAATGCTTATTTTATACAGCTTCAGGGAGGTGTGCCAGAGATCAGAGGACAGATATTCCAATGTCCTGTGAACTTTTCCACAGAATAGAAACAGGGAGTATGTCCCAACCCCACTTGTGAAGCTCTCCAGGGAAATTTTTGTTATGAGTCAATCTTAAAAAAAACAGATGCAAGTGGTTTCTAGTCCTTGTGCTATCAACTTTTAGAAGTGACACCTCAGAGAATTTTCTTTGTCTAAATCAACTCCAAACTGTGGAGTCTGGAGTCCAATGTATGTTTCATATCAAGAGGAATACTGAAGTCAGTCATATTAAAATTTGTGATTCTAAATATAGGCTGAAGGTCCCTAAAAAATCCACAATGCTCCAAAATCTGAACACTGACATTCTACCCCAAGTCTGGTGCTCTGATCTATGCAAGCTTTGTTTTGAGTCTAAAATGAAGTTTAAAATATTATATAAAATCACATAAGGTATTTAGGAAACATGAATGAAGTTTATGTTCATAGTTGGGTCACATCCCCATGATATCTCATTTTAGATCTCAGTTCTAAAATCTGAAAAAACTCCAAATCTGAAACCCTTCTGATCCCAAACATGTTGCGTAGGGGGTACTCAGTCTGTAATTGTGTTTATTTGGTCTCTTGATTTTTAATCTGTGCACTTTTTTGTGTGTGATATATTTCCTTTTCTAAAGATACTTGGGAGCCCGCAGCGTCTCTGTGACTTGGCAGGACCCAGCTCTACTGAACCAGAACCCAGAAAAAGATCGATTTCCAAGAGGAAGTCTCTCCTGGACCTTCTCAAACTGTATGATGCATTCCCCTTTAGGTTGAGGTTCCAAGGGAACACAGCTGTGCCAGATGCTTTCCTCTCGTTTCAAAATTCCTGAAACTTGCATGAATCTGCAATAAACAAAGTGTGCACAGTTAACAGTTCACCACAAGCCACATGAGCTTTATTTCAGGTCCCTATGGTCATCTAAGTTTCTGTGTCTTCATAATGACAAAGAAAACTGCATGAAAATGAAATGCCAAAAAATATTCACGAGGATTATTGGGGAGGCTCTCACGTGCAGCGCCCCTAGAAAAGTGAATGTTCTATGACTTGTAATAATTGCATTGCCACACATCTGTTCAGGAATGTGCTTATTTAATTGAGAAAGACAGTCCATGCTATTGTAGTGTTGGAACTATTTTTGTATTTGCAGAGCTCAGTATGATACGAGTGATTTTGTTCAGTGCCTGTCCATGGGAGTATCATACATTCCCATTAGGAGTTTTTGTTTGCCCCCGGATAAACTAGCTTAGCCAAGAATGAGTGTGGTCCAGGGCCGTCCATCTTACAGAGGTTTTCCTGTGCCAGTCCCAGCATGCTGTTTGATTATTCACTGCTTTGATTATTCAGTTTTATGCAAATTAGATTCTCTCGTGAACACCATTCAATTCTCCTAGGCTAATCATTCTTCATCATTTCACAGTGTTTTTTTTTTTTCTGTCTTATGTATGGATGCCACTTTTCTGTTTCAAACGCTGTTTAGCATCATGGATGGCATGACCGAAGCGTGCATCAAGGGTGGCATTGAAGCTTGCTACGCTGCGGTGTCCTGCGTCTGCACCTTGCTGGGCGCCCTGGACGAGCTCAGCCAGGGCAAGGGTTTGAGCGATACGCAGGTGCAACTGCTGCTGCTGCGTCTGGAGGAGCTGAAGGATGGAGGCGAGTCCAGTCGAGACTCCATGGAGATCAACGAGGCCGACTTCCGCTGGCAGCGGAAGGTGCTGTCCTCAGAACACACGCCCTGGGAGGCTGGGAATGAGAGAAGCCCTGACATCAGCATTAGCGTCACCACAGACACGGGCCAGACCACCTTGGAGGGGGAACTGGGGCAGACCACGCCCGAGGACCACCTGGAGCACCACAAAAACATCCTCAAGTCACCAGCCATGCAGGAGGGCAAGGAAATATTGAGCAAAGGATCAGAGCTGGAGGCGGGGGACCAGCCTGACGTGGTTCAAAGGAGCCACACGGTGGCCTACCCTGACATCACCAACTTCTTGTCTGTGGATTCGAGGACCAGGTCCTACGGATCCAGGTACAGTGAGAGCAACTTCAGCGTGGACGACCAGGATCTCTCCAGGACGGAGTTTGACTCCTGTGATCAGTACTCCATGGCAGCCGAAAAGGACTCGGGCAGGTCCGATGTGTCCGACATTGGCTCCGACAACTGTTCGCTGGCGGATGAGGAGCAGACTCCGCGGGACTGCCTGGGCCCCCGCTCCCTGCGCACCGCTGCGCTCTCTCTGAAGCTGCTCAAGAACCAGGAGGCGGACCAGCACAGCGCCCGGCTCTTTGTGCAGTCCCTGGAGGGCATCCTGCCGCGCCTGCTGGCCCTGGCCAGCGTGGAAGAGGTGGACTCCGCCCTCCAGAACTTTGCTTCTACCTTCTGCTCAGGTTTGTAAACTGCTTTGTAGTTGTTGCTGCATGGTCCACAATGTCCGGAGTGTGTTTTATCTATCCATAGATATATAAAAAGCACTTGGTAAGATTCACCAATCTTTGATGATAAAAGTTTGGTGAGTTAGATATAGCAGGAACATACCACAAAATTATAAATGCTGTGTATGATATGCCCGCAGCCAGTATCTTACTGAATAAGGAAAAGCTGAAAGCATTTCCCTTCAGCCATGGGAACAAGACAGAGATTTGCACTTTTACTCCTTCTTATTCAATACGATGTTGGAAGTATTAGCAAGGGCCAAGTAGGGAAGAGAATGAAATACCAAGTCTCAGAATTAGGAGAAAGTCAAAATATCCATGCATGCAGGTGACATGATTTTGTACATGGAAAAATCTAAACACTCCACCAAGAAAACTGTTAGAACTGATAAAGCTATTCAGCAAAGCCACAAAGTACAGAATCAACAAACAGAAAACAGTAGTTTTTTAATACACCAGTAATGTTCCTGATGAAGGAAAACCAATGAAAAATGTCCTTCGTGAAAAATTGTTGCAACACAATTTTAAATATTTGGGAACAAATTTAACCAAAGAAGCAAAACAGCTCTATAATAGAACTTATAAACGACAAATTAAAGAAATAATCAAGGTCACAAAAAATACAGTTATTCTTTGTAATTAGAAGAATTATTTTGCTTGCCTGTGGACAGCAGATTTTTACAAAGATGCTAAGAACATACATTGGGTAAAATATTATCTTTTCAGGAAATAAATGATTCTGACAAAACTGATTACACAAATGTAAAAGAACGAAATTGGAGCCCTACCTCTTAACCATATACCAAAGTCAACTCAGTGCATTAATGACCCAAATGTAAGACCTGAGACAATTAAATTTCTAGAAAAAGAATGTAAACAGCTGAAGATGCTGAAGCAGGTGGTGGTTTTTTGATAAGAACCCCGATATACAGTCAACAAAAGCAAAAGTAGACAAATGGGATTGTATCAGATGCAGGCGATTCTGCAAAGGAATCAGCAAAGGAAACAATGCAGAGGAGATACATACAGTGGGACAGGAGAAAAGGCTTACAAACTATGTGACATAGAATTAATATCCAGTATATATCAGAAGCTCGAGAGTTTGCAACAAAATAACCAATCCAGTTTAAAAATTGGTGCAAAGGACCTGGACAGTTCACAGAAGAAAAAAATCAAGTGGCCAACTAATATTTGAAAAACTATGTAATATCATAAGCCCTCAGGAAAATACTGATCAAACCACAACTAAATACAGCTTCCTACCCCCTTTGAATGACTATTAGCAAAAAGACAGAAAGTAACGCATGTTGGCAAAGATGTGAATAGAGGGGAACTCTTCTCCGTCATTGTAAGGCATGTGAATCAGTATAGCCACTATGGAAGACAGTAAAGGGATTTCTTCAAAAAGTAGAAATAAAATCACCATATGAGTCAGAAATCTCATGAATCAATAAATATATCAAAGAAACATGAAATGGTTTTATCTAAGAGATACCTGTTCCCAGTGGCCAAGATATGGAATCAACTGAGGTGTCCATCATCAAATGAATGAATTAAAAATATAGTATATATACACACATGTGAGACATAAATTTATACATGTTATATAAATATAATACAGATTATTCAGCCGCAAAAAAGAGGGAAATCCTATCATTTGCAACAAAATGGATGAAAACAAAAGACATTGAGTGATATGATAAGCTCGGAAAGACATTACACGTTCTCTGTATATGTAGAAGCTTAAAAACATTCAAAGTGGCTGCAGAATGGCAGAGGAGAGCATAGAAGAACCACTGTAGCTCAGAATTACCTAGTAAATAAGTGAACAAGCAGAAGAAAGGAGGCCCCATAAAGTTATACGAGAGGAAATGTTCATTACCCTGTTTTGCTCGGTACATTGTAAACATGTGCTTAAATGTCACACTGCAGCAAATAAATGTGTAGTTATTACTGATAAAAATACGTCTAAAGACCACAAGCATTATTTCTGCCATCCCAACAAACTTAATGTAAAGCTTTTGTTCTGCTTTTAGAATCGTAGCGCACAAACACAAGTGCCGAGGTGCTAAAAGGTCGTTTCATTTTTCCAGCTTTCTTTCCTTTCTATTGTTCACCAATAGAGTATTAATGAAATAAAGCACCTTACACCCACCCATTTGATGGTGCAGTCCTGTTCATTAAGGAAAAAAAAGGAGACAGGACTATAGATGCCAGCCTCAAAATGTGTAAGATACGAAGGTGCTTCAAAATGTAGGAAAACAGAACTAAAAGAGGAACATATTTTGATGTCGAAAATCAGAACTTCATGTCTACAAGCAGGTTGTTGAACCACATGAGGTCGCCATGGAATGTTTTTAGTGTATTCTCATGCATGGTTGTATTCTTATACAAGTAAGTGAATCTTGTTAGAGGGATAGCCACTACTTTATTCCCTGTAAACTGGGAAACATAAATAACTGAAATATGGAACCAGTGTTGCGGCACACTGAACTGCTGCCTGCAAACACTAACATCTCTTATCAGAGCACTGGTTCAATTCCCAGTTGCACTTCTTCGCATCCAGCTCCCTGCTACTGTTTCTCAGAAGGCAGCAGAGGATGCCCAGTACTTGGCATTTTGCCCTCCTTGTGGGACCCACAAGAAGCTCTAGGCTTTTGGACTGAGCCTAGCCAAGCCTCAGGCATTGCAGACACCCTATCCTCTTCCCTCCCCTTCCCCCTCTTTTCTTCTTTACCTTCTTTCTCCCCTTTCCCCTTCCCTTTTTTCTCTCTTCCCTCTTTCAGATAAATAAATCTTAAAAAAAAAACCGTAGAATATGTTAAAGATTATAATTCCTGTGGTGGGTCATTCCAAATTGATTAACGCGTCCTTGAGACAAATGTATGCTTTCCCCTTTAGCATGGTTCTGTTATCCACAATTTCATTTACCCACAGTCAGCTGTGTACAGAAACTATTAAATGGAGAACTCAAAAAATAACTCCTTGTTTTTAAGTCATGCACCATTCTGAGACTAGGAATGAAATCTCAAACCATGCTACTACATCCTACCTGGGATGTGAGCCAACCTCTATTCATGTTAGTCCCTCAGTAGCCATCTCACTTAGCAGGGAAACTGCGTGTCGTGGTGTTAGTGTTCAAGGCATTCCTATTTTACTTAATAGTGACCCAGAAGGCAAACTTTTATTATGATGTGGCATTATAATTGTTCTGCTTTATCATTGGCTGTCATTGCTGGCCTTGTACCATCCCATAAAGATCTAAGAGGTGCCTTCCTTACTGGTAAACAAAATTGGGGCAGGATCCAAAGAAATCATATGTGAGATTTGTAGTAGAAAGTACATTGTATCCATTATTACAATGAACTGTATGAATATCTGGTATTAAGAAAATATTTGTTTCATTTAAATTGATAGACTATGCTTCATTTTATTTTATTCTGAAACTTGCCAGCTTTCCGTAATTTAAGAAATGAATCTGCATACAGGGTTAAAGCAGGGTCGACAGATTGTTGCTAACAAGTCTGGCCAATTATTTCAGAATGAAGCACATCCACTGGCAGTGCCTTTGGGGGCTGTGCTGCCGTTCTGCTAATAGGTCTCTGTGTCAGCACTCACACTAGCTGCCTTTTTACTTACAGAATCTGAGCCTGTGCTATGTTTCCCGAATGTATTCCAGAGTAAATAGTCATTACTTACGTCTAAGGTCCTAGCCACTCACAGATTTTTTTCCCCCTTCATTTGTAGACTCTGGTTTATCTTGTATCTGTGATCCAACAGGATTCAACCCAACTTTGCTTTCTACTTTACCATGGAAAAACACTGATCTCTTCTCCCCACCCCACTCCCCCTCTACACCATGTCCTTTAGGAAACTGGAACAAAGCCCACTGGTGCCTTAAGAGTGCCAGGAGTCGGGGAGAAAGAAAGTACCAATGTCTGCTGCATTCCCAGGAAACAGGAGCTGGGAGCTGAGCTAGGGATGGAACCCAGGCCCTCCAGCAGGGGGTGCAAGTTACTGCTCAGCTGAACTCACACCATAGCGTTGCAACATCAGATAAAGTCGTGTACTTGGTTTCTGTTTGTTGTTTTCTCAGTGAATGTGCATAGAATCCAAGAGCCCCTTCAAAGTAGAATTCTATTAAATGGAAAAAAGCAATAGCTACTACTTACTTTATTTTAACTTTTTAAAAAATTGTTTCCTTGAGATGAAACTCACATAACTAAGATTTCCTCGTTTAAAATACTCAGTTCAGGGGCCAGTATTGTGGAGTAGGGGGTAAAGCTGCCGCCTGCAAATGTTGGCACTGAATCAAATTCTGGCTGCTCTAGTTTCCAACAGATCTACTTGATAATGGACTGGGAAAACAGCAAAAGATGGCCTAAGTACAAGGACCCCTGTTCCTGACTCCTGGCTTTGGCCTGGGACAACTCTAGGAGGCAACGCCTCACCTCTTGGGCCATCCACACACCTGCCTGATCAAGCCTAGCAGGTGCAGCATTAAAAATGTCTTCATTCCCACCCCCTTAGGCATGATGCACTCCCCCGGCTTTGACAGCAGTAGCAGCCTTAGCTTCCAGATGCTGATGAACGCGGATAGCCTGTATACTGCTGCCCACTGCGCCTTGCTCCTCAACCTCAAGCTCTCCCATGGAGACTACTACAGGAAGCGGCCAGCCCTCGCTCCAGGCATGATGGTCAGTGTGTGTGGTGTTGAGTACTCCCAGGCTAAGAGGTGGCCTGGTACTAACTGAGCAGCTGAATGGTGGAGTGTCCTATTCCATGCTGCTCTGGAATGCTTGTTTCTGGGGGGTCTGTGGCAGGTGGGGAAAGATGGCCATCTCAGGACCATCTTCTGTGTGAGTGATCCATCAGTGCTTACAAACCACTGCCTGCTGATGGTCCCGGAGTTTCATTTAGTGGCATAATTAAGCACATATGTGTAAAGAATATATTCAAACGTGTCATCAGCATGCGCTATGACAAACACTCAACGAATGCCACAACGCGTGCATGCCTGCCTCCCTGAAGATGTGGCATTGAATATAATGCTGCTTAACCTGTGGCCAGTTCCCTTGACTCCATGTTGCGCCCTGAGTCTCAACTCCAGAGACTCAATTGAGGGGTCTGCAGAATGGGAGGTAGAATTCTTTTATTTGCTTGCTCAATAAATGGTACTTCCCTAAAGGCAGGCAATAACCTCCTGACAGTGAGTCACACGTCTTACAGTGGAAAAGGCTTCTTTGGGGAGTGAGTTTCGTGTCTGCTGCTACTGAGATGGTGAGAGCAGAAAGCTGTGCTGGAAATAGCCACAGGATCTCTGATCTTCCCTGAGAAGTGAATACAGACATGGCAGGATCCCTGATCTTTCCATAGAGTCCATCAGAGGTTGTCATAAACAAATGGGGCTCCAGGAAATGTGGGCCTGTTCTATCCCAGCTTTCCCCTTGTCCTGTCTCACCCCAGTGAAAAATCCATGTGGCCAGGATGGGGAATGTGGTCTGATGTGGGCTTCAGGTCTATGTGATTTGCAGGGTTCACCCATGGTCACTTAATTCACTTCCTCTCTCTCTGTAGAAAGACTTCCTGAAGCAGGTGCAAACCAGCGGGGTGCTGATGGTTTTCTCACAGGCCTGGATCGAGGAACTGTACCATCAGGTGCTTGAGAGAAACATGCTGGGAGAAGCCGGCTACTGGGGCAGTCCTGAAGACAACAGCCTTCCCCTCATCACCATGCTGACAGGTCAGTGGTCCCTACCAGCATCTGTGGCACTTGGTTGGGCACTTCAAAACCCCTTCGCCTGAAGCACACGTGTTCTAAGTAGACTTGGAAGGAGCCCCCATAGGGCTTCTTAGGCAGTGCGAGACAGATCTAGGGAAGTCACGTAAATGCACCTCACACGGGTTTTCTTTTGTCCATGTGGGAATTTGTTGGGCTCCCTGTGCCCCATTAGATGGGGGCAAATGTCCATCTCTGTTGATGTAAAGCTATAGGCCTCTGCTGTGGAGACGTAGTTCTTTCTGGGCACAGTGCCCAGAGTTCTTCCTAGAAGCTTTCACATGCTGATAGACACCCTCCATCATGCCCTGCTCTGGGGACTTTGCCAGTAATGTGAAATGATTGATTTTGAGCTTGGCCACATTCCCATTTTCTATTTGTGTCAGAGGTTTTCCTTTCTCTTCCTAGTTGTACCAGAATGAAAAACAATGCCAATTATACCCCTGCCCAGCTTCTTTGTGTTTAGATGTCCCAGCTTTCCATGTCCTATCTGTTAGAAATACTATAGGCAAGCATATGGAGCGGTGTTATTTTGAAGTTACTTTGTTTTCAATAGAAGCAGCTTTTTTTGGTTCAGCCACAGTGTCCGTTAAAGAGCAGTGGGTGCTCAAAAGTTTGGTCATTGATCACTTTCCTAAGGCGAATCTGCAGGCCTGTCCTGACTTTGCTCTGACTTGCCGAGCTGAATTCTGATTGGAGTGATTTCCTTCTTGGCTCCAACTTACAGGCTAGATAGGGCATGGTTCTGCACAAGTGTCCTGTATTTAGTGTTCCAGGCCCTGTGCATCAGGCAGGAGAGTCCAGCTGAGAGGTGTAGTCTATGGCTCAAAAGATGGACTAAAGGCTGGCATTGTAGTACATCAAGTGAAACCAGCACTCCTAATGCCTGCATACCATATTGGAGCAACCAGTTTGAGTCCCAGATGTTCCACTTATCTAGCTCTCTACTAATGCATCTGAGAAGGCAGCTGAAGATGGCCTGGGTACTTTGGCCCTTGTCACTCACATGGGGGACCAGGATGGAGTTCTGATTCCTTGTTTCAGCTAGGCCTAGCCACAACTCTTCTGGACATTAGAGATATGAAATAGTAGATGGAAGCACTCACACTTGCGCTCGCTCTCTCTCTCTTTCTCTCTCTCTCTCTCTCTCTCTCTCTCTCTCTCACACACACACACACACACACAGTTACTCTGGCTTTTAAACATATATATTGAAAAAAAAAGTTTTGGCTATTCAATCTGTGACTGGTCCTGGAGGCTCCAGCAATGGTGAAAAAGTACAACACTGGCAGGTGGAGCCTAACAATAAGTGAATTGAGACACCACTTAAGACTCAGGCAGCTAAGTTATATGCCCATGGGGAGCCAAGTCCTAGTCATTGTCTGGCATTTGGCAACTTAATTCTGTAAGGAAGCTGCAAATGGGAAAGGGCGGGCATTAGGCAGGGGCACTGGACAGCTGACCAACTTGTATTTTGTCAGTTGTGACGGCTCGTATGTTTACATCTTTCAATTTTGAACGATGATTGGTTTTATTTTCACCAACTCCCTTCAATAGAGATGGAAGGTATTGACCAGAATTTTTAACTTCTTATGATTATTATTATTAACTGGAAAGGCAGATACACAGAGAAAAGAAGATACAGAGAGAAAGATCTTCCATCTGCCGGTTGACTCCACAAGTGGCTGCAATGGCAGGAGCTGGGCCAATCAGAAGCCAGGAGCCTGGAGCCAGGAGATTCTTCTGAGTCTCCTGCATGGGTGTAGGGTCCCAAGGCTATGGGTCATCCACCACTCCTTTCCCAGGTCACTGACAGAGAACTGGATGGGAAGTGGAGCAGCCACAATACAAACTGGCACCCATATGGGATCTCAGTTGGTGCAAGGCAAGGATTTAGCTACTAGGTTGTGGTGCCAGGCCCAGAGCTTTTGACTCCTTAGAATTTGGGTGGGGATCTAAACTTACCAGCTTTTGATATTCAAATGCCATAGTTTTCTCCAAAAAATAATCTATGAGTCTTTTGCCCAGATTTATTTAATAAAAGGAGCCGTTCAGTAGATGTAAAGTGAATAAGCAACAGACTATTCACGGTAGCTATATTCATGATTTGTCACTCAGGAATTTTAGTGACACATCCCATTTAGAATACCTGGGTTCACATCCCAGTCCTACTGTTGTTTCTAGCTGCATGCTGAGGCTGGGAAGCAGCAGCTGATGGTTCAAGCAGTGAATCTCCCTCGCCCCATGTGGGAGGACTGGATTTGTCTGCTAGCCACCAGCTTCTTCCTAAGCGCACCTCAACTTTTGTAGGCATGTAGGAATTAAACCAGCAGGTTGGGAGTGCTCTTCTGTGTCTCCCTAATCCTCGGATAAATGAGTATTAACACACACACACACACACACACATGTCTCCCCCAACCCTGACCAACTACTTTTGAGTTCAGGGATAATCAAATAAAAAGATAAAACAGGTTGAAACTTGCAAAGTATTGTGTCAATGAATTTTGTGTTTCACTTTCCAATCAGAATATCTTGTTATTTGACCAAAAAAAGCTTACTGTTTTCTTAATTTTTAAAAGGAAGCTTTGAAAATCACAGTCCATGTTAGGCTAACCTCTCCATATAAAACCTGGGAATGATATCATGGCTTGTAAGTTAAAAAACAAATTCAGTGATCCAAATATTCTAAGTGAATAGATTTTCTAACAACAGTGCTGGCAGTTTATCTTTACTTTTTCAAATTAAAATGCATACATCATAAACAAAAGAATGCTTTGACAAAAAAGACACTTGGCTGTGTAAGAGAGAACTGGACATTTGTTGGGGTAAAATGTGAATATTGTGATCATATTTGTTTTTGACTATAGTGTTTCTTTAAGGAAAAACCTGATCCTTTTTCCTTGACAGATATTGATGGGTTGGAAAGCAGTGCCATTGGTGGCCAGTTGATGGCCTCAGCTTCCACAGAGTCTCCCTTCACCCAGGGCAGAAGAATTGATGACTCCATGGTGGCAGGTAATGCCTTGGATCTGTAGCTTGTGAATGCATGTAAATTGTATGTGTTACCAGGAGTGAAATTACTATGTATTGCCATAAATGAGTGAAGATTTTGTCGTAGGAAGGAACATCAGGTGCAAGTTGCTTGGCATCTTCTATCAGCACAAAGTGAAACATAACCCAGATGAACTTTCCATCCTAGACTTGCACACAATGCGTTATTGGTAGCCTGGTGGCCAGGGAACTCCATGCCCTTCATTGCCAGGCTGTATGTGTCTCTACAAAGTAACCCACACCCCTTCTTCATGTTCTAGGTGTGGCATTTGCTCGCTATATTCTTGTTGGCTGCTGGAAGAACTTGATCGATACTCTATCCACCCCACTGACTGGCAGGATGGCAGGGAGCTCCAAAGGGCTGGCCTTCATTCTGGGAGCCGAGGGCATCAAAGAGCAAACTCAGAAAGAACGTGATGCCATCTGCCTGAGCCTCGACGGGCTGCGGAAAGCAGCACGGCTGAGCTGTGCTCTAGGTATCAGTCTAGTCATGCACCCCAACCTGTTATCTTAAGCGGTCCCTGGGGCTGGCTTTGAAGGGGTTCTGCTAGGCAAATGGTCAGAGATTATCCTCCATTAAGGAGAACCTGTTTATCTCCTGTAAAGGGGTTGCTGCTAACTGTGCCTCAGCCCTTGCCCAGATGGCAGCTGCCTCCTGTGTTCAAGAAGAGAAAGAGGAAAGAGAAGTCCAAGAACCCAATGATGCCATCGCACAAGGTAACAAGAGAAAGAAAATGAACCTGGTGCCTTGGGTGACGTGTACACACCCTTGCCTACACCCACATGTGTGTGTTGACATTCATTCCTATTCCATGTCTGATGCACAGTAGTCTATGGATAGCACTGGCCCTGAGATCCCATGGAGCCACAGGTGTTGGGTCTGTTTGGCTTGGATGGCCCTTTGAAGATGAGAAACATCCTGGCCCCTGATGAAGAGGGGAAAGCAGTTGCCTGCTAACAGGAGCGCTCTAGGCCCAAAAGGCTAAGCTGTGACACCTGTCTCATCATCTGGCCAATGACTTTCAAGCCTCAAGGTAGTGCACTGTTGAGGACCATTCAAGTTATCCTGGGTGAAGGCAGCAGGGCCAGTTTTCTCAGGGAGAAAAATCACAAATACATGGAAGAAATCCATGAAAGGGGAATCAGGAAATCTTTGCTCTTGTCTTTGGGACTCAGGGAAGGGTTGATGTTCCATCCATTAAAAACAACCAGTGAGGGCCCGGCGCGGTGGCGCAAGTGGTTAAGGTCCTCACCTAGCACGCCCGGGATCCCATATGGGCGCCAGTTCTAATCCCGGCAGCCCTGCTTCCCTTCCAGCTCCCTGCCTGTAGCCTGGGAAAGCAGTCGAGGACGGCCCAAAGCCTTGGGACCCTGCACCCGCGTGGGAGACCTGGAAGAGGCTCCTGGCTTCAGATCGGCATAGCATCGACCGTTGCACTCACTTGGGGAGTGAATCATTGGACAGAAGATCTTCCTCTCTGTCTCTCCTCTCTGTATATCCGCCTTTCCAATAAAAACATAAAAAAAAAAAAAACAGTGAAATTGATGAGTGGATTGACAGATGGGAAGAGAATTGACCCAGACAGCAACTATAGATGTGAAAGGCAGTCTACAAACAGAAGGAAAAATACAAGCTTGGATCAAATTGTGCTAAATATCATCAGATCTGTAAAACTGATCCCAAAACAGTTGTCATTTTTATTTAATGTATTTTATTATACAGTTCTATAAGCTCCGGGATTTCCCTTCTTCCTGCCCCCAGTTGACTCTTTTTAGCTGTGAAACACAGTTTGGACCAGTGTTTTTCCAACTTATATATTTTTACAGACATTTAAAAGCAAAGTCATTCTCACAGATCCCCAGTACTGACTAAAAAAATAGGTAGCACAATTTCACTTAAATAATGTAAAGCTGTGAACTATATCAAAACTCTTTTACATTTGTAATTCCTTTAAAAACTGCATAATCAAAACAAAAATGCTCAAATTATACAAATTTACAAAATGAACTCAATATTACATTTATGAGACAAATGATATTTTTCTGCAAATCACTTTTCCCCATGCAACAGGAATGTGTTGAGATTGCTGTCACATTAGTTGAGGAAAGATTTCTGAGTTCTGGACCACCACTCAGCAATCCCCCAGATTCAGAACTCTTGAAACTTTAATTTAACACTATGCTGCCTGGCCATGACCTGACATTGTGCATAACTGACACACTAATTCCTGCAATCTTTTAGTAGTAGTCTGGGGTTTCTTTCTTTAAAAAAAAAAATAAAGTATTACTTGTAGCTCACAAATACAAATGTAAATATAGGGAGTATAGTAATTTTCAGTTATAAAAGTCATCTTGGGGCTACAAATGCACATCGATAATTTCAGGGCTGGTTATCATAAGGAAAGCATAACATTAAAATAATCTCAGTACTGAAAGGAATTCTTCTGTATGACAAATGAGTGAATGGTCAGGGTGCTTTGGTTGGAATTAGGATCTGAGGCCCATTCACACTGCCATGCCTCACTCATAGGCCATGCAGGCCTGGAAGGTACTGCACCTACTAGCTCAGGGACTGTCCAACATCCGAGTTCATAAAGATGTTGTTACCCATGTTCATGGAGCCTGTTGTCTAGGTGGTTTGCATGGGGCACAGCAGGGACCTGCCAGCACAGAGCTTCATACCAATGAAGTGTTTCTGCCTTCTGCCCTTGCATGACCACACAGCCTTTCATTCTCATCCTTTCTCTCTCCCTTTCTGTCTCCCTCACTCAGACTGTTATTTTAATAAATGTCTTTCTGGCACAGTGAAACTAAAAGTGGAGCAGAAACTGGAGCAGATTGGGAAGGTGCAGGGGGTGTGGCTACACACAGCCCACGTCTTGTGCATGGATGCCATCCTCAGCGTAGGCCTGGAGATGGGAAGCCACAACCCGGACTGCTGGCCACACGTATTCAGGTGCATGATGGGATCCCCACCCGTTGATGTCATCAGCCCTGCCTTGGGAAGCCTGGGAGTGGCAACGGGCGGGAGGCTCAGAAGTCGGCCAGTGCTAAACTAAGTGATGATAATCGGAGAATTTAAATGAACTCCAAATGGGAGAGAAGAGGGAATGAGCATACTGCAGTATCTGTGATTGGGAGAACGAAGGTACAGAACTGGGTTAGAAGATTTTCTTATTTATCTATTGGCATTGTCCATGACAGACAGATGTGTTGTACCATGGCAGAAAAATCAATTTCTTAAGCAGTGGCTGGTAAGAGATTATGCAAGGTAAATGTTACTGTGTGAATCTAAAAGCTGGTCACAAATCATCAATAAGTATTACTGCATGTTGATCATTGTCCTTTTTTATTTAAAGGATTGTAGATTGGTCCATGTGGATATAAATATATAGCACACGATGGCTATTTTTCATGTAGATGGGCAACAAAATAAGCAGAATCATACATCTGTGTCAAAGACTGGCTAAAAAAATTCATTCAGCCTGGTGGCATCAAAGGGAAAAGAAATTCCCCATTAGTAACACATTCACAGTTCTTGTAAGTTACAAACTGGTACAGTGGAAGGAGCCCTGCCCTTAGAGGCAGGTGGCAGGCTGTGCCTGATCATCTCCTGGTCCACGTCCCAGGCCTCATATCATGCATGGTTTGGGTAGGAGCAACAGAGGGGTAGCCCTGAGCACAACCAGATTTAAGTTCAGTCTGACCCCTTGCAGAACAAACCCAGCCTGGAATGTCTCATTTCAAAGAGGAGAGTATGAGGAAATGTTTGGATTGGAGACCAGGCTTGAGGGGAACCAGTGAAAGGATGGGGCTGGATCAGCCAGGAACACACTCGGGTTAAAGATGGAGCTTGCTGCTCCTTAGGCAAGGAAGGCCTCAGCTGTGCCCTGAGGTTAGCACATTTGAGTCAAGTACTACTGACCAGGAGCTAAGCCTGTTCTGGACTACAGGGCCTCTTAATCCCAAATTCTATGGGAAATAGAAACTTTGAATGCTGGCAGTAGTACCACATGTTGTGACACTTCTCTGTGTTTGCTGGGATTAGAGAACTGCTCCCTCCCCTTCTGTGCACCCAGCCCCATCCCAACATGAGTTACCTGAAGCTCTTATCAGGCAGGCAGGACTTGACTGAGCAGAACCCCTTGGAGGCCCAAGGATTTGTCCAACATGTGGGTATTTGAAAGCAAGAGAATATTTCCTGATCCCAATTGTGAATGAGAACACCTCATACAGAGAAGGAAGGTATCTTGTGGGAATTATCTCCAATAGCCAGAGCTCAGCTAAGCTGGTAAACTCAACTGACTGTTGTTTGCCCTTCCTCTGCAGGGAGTAAGAGATTCTGAGAAAGCCTATACCCGGTGCAAGGCTGCCTGGCTCAACTCAAAAAAGAAATTAGAAGTACAGTGAGGAAACAAACAAGTCAGGGAGGGATGGATGGGGGCTGTCTGTGAGAGGAGGAAGAAGGAGGCAGAGGGGAGGGTGGCTGGATCTCCTTTGAGCATTCATGCGTGTTGATGGAACAGCAGCACTCACTGGCTGCCTGTCTGATTTTTCCAGGGTGTGTGAGTACGTGGGCACGTTGGAGCACACCCACTTCAGTGACGCCACCTCGCAAGCTCCTGTGACCATCAGCCAGCCCCAGAAGGTGTCCAGCAGCCCTGGTCTCCTCGGGGACCTTGAGTGTGAGGGTTCCCCTCAGGAGCAGAGTCTGGAACAGGGGTCTTCCCTGAGCTCAGCCCCTGTCATCCAGCCCCTCTCCATCCAAGAACTGGTTCGGGAAGGCAGCCGGGGCCGGGCCTCGGACTTCCGCGGCGGCAGCCTCATGAGTGGGAATAGCGCCGCCAAGGTGGTGCTCAGCCTCTCCACCCAGGCCGACAGGTGCGTGGCATGGCCGCTGACCAACCACAGCCAGCATCATTCCAGGGGCAACTTGATGGATTACCTCTCATTCAAACTCTTCTGAGCTGTTTCACATATAAATCTCTCCACCACCACACCCCATCTCTGGAATGACGCCATTTCTCCTAAGATGTAGGAGCAAACCGTGCCCTTAACCTGGAATCCTGGGCAGCCTTGTCTCCATCGTGTCTTCATTGGTAATTAGGTCATTTCTGAAAGTAGCTCCATGGGAGACTCATGAGATGAAATTTGCTACTACAGCTAGAACTCTAGAACAAACCTTGGCAAGTAACGAAACCCTGCTACCTTATTTTTATTGCTTACAAAACCCTGCTATTTTACTGTTCTTATTGTTTCCAGGATTCCATGCCCAAGAGTAGGAGATGTTATTTATGGATTCGCAGCAGCTATGTGTAGGTAAAGAGGGAAGCAGTTGTCCCAGCTGTTGGGTGAGACTTCTTGATGCTGAAAATGTTTCCAACCATTAGTTAACACCTAGAAGTCCTTCATTGAATTCAGGTTTGGCTGTTATGACCCAGACCACCCAGCCTGGGCACAGTGACATTTAGAAGAGGAAGATGGCAGGGAAGTGGGCAGAGTATTCACTGGTTCAGGACCCTGATGGCTCTGAAAGTCTGTCCTGGCCAGCAGCATGGTCAAGTCTGTAGAAACAGTTGCAGTGAGACTCAATTTCTCCAAATACTAACCCAATTACAATAATCACTTTTTCCTGTTTTGGCATCAGGAAAGGGCTAGACAGCTGTCAGGTGGTGGTATGACAATCATCACTACTTTCCAATGAGGAAAGAAGAAACTCTGAAGCCAAATGGTATCAAAATTAGAATTATAAAAATGGCAAAAAAAAAATGGATTTCCTTAATTGATGAATATTTAATTTGCTGATGCCCATCTTAAAGCCTGAGGTGTCACATCTGACTGCTGCAGGACTCATGATTCATCTGTTAGTAGGAACTGCTCATAAGTAGCGTGCAGCACCACACAGCGCTGCCTGCCCTCCCGTGCTGCATAGCCTTGGAGGGTGGGTCACGAGATGCCCAGAGAGCAGTGGATAGTACAAGATCACCTTGCCCCCTTCTTCACTCTGACCACCCGAAACTGATATTTCGGCTTGGCACTGCTCAGTCCGCTCCCCTGGATCCTTCTCCTAGTCCTGCTCTATTGTACCAGCTCCTTCCAAACAACTTTTCTGGCAGAAGTTTCCTATGCCATGATGGTGGGAACCTGCCAGGTATGTTTGGCTGTGGAACATTCTCCCAGTAGATATTTGAGTTCCTGTAATATCTAGAGCTCCCAGCGTGTGAGCCCAGAACCTCCCAGGGCTTCCAAATTGAAATCTCATGTTGGGGCAGGCTCATACACTGTGACAATAGCTATAATAATAACATATATTTTCCTTCACTGTTTACACAGCAGGAGCATTAATCACATCCACAAAATTACCATAATCATTCCAACAGAAGGAGCCTGCTGAACTGCTTCCAGATAACGCATCTCCTTCTGCTTGTTCCCAGGCTCTTTGAAGATGCTACAGATAAGCTCAACCTAATGGCCCTTGGAGGGTTTCTTTACCAGCTCAAGAAGGCCTCCCAGTCGCAGCTTTTCCATTCTGTTACAGAAACAGTTGACTACTCACTGGCCATGCCAGGTAATCCTTCCCCTAATGAAACTGTGCTGGGAGGTGAGAAGAAATGGCCTAGGTCCCAGACACCAATGGCAGGCCTGAGGATTTGCATCCACAGCCCCACTGCATGTGGTCACACTGGCAAAGCTCAAGTACATACCCATCCTGTAGTTCTGAGGCCTAAGAAGGGAAGGATACAGTTCTTCATAAGCAGACATGTTGCTGCCCACCCCCTGCTGTACATTATTACCCATGGAGTTGAGCTAACTTGATCCACTGAGATTTATGCTAGTGATGGAGCAGTTACATTGCATGTTTACTTTTTAAAGCAACTTTAGGAAGTAGGTATAATTATCCCCAATCTTATAGATGAGCTAATTCAAAGGGCAATCATTGACCCACTGCAGCCTCACCACTAAATGGTGGAGGCAGGGATTGAGCCAGGCTGACTGGCTTCTAAACTCTCCTTCCTAACTACTTATCACCATCAGGTAGTGTTCACACCTGTCATGCCGCAGGGACTCATGGGAGTGAAGGAGAGAGGTCCTGGCTTTGTGGTGTGAACCAGAGTTTTCTCCTGCCTTGGTTGGCTCACACCAAATCCTACTAGTCCGAGCACTACACCTTGATTTTCAGCCCATCTCTGGGCTTGAAGAGAGCTTCAGCTCTCTGGCTTTTATGGTCTTGCCTTCTTTTAGGAGAAGTTAAATCCACCCATGACCGGAAAAGTGCCCTCCACCTGTTCCGCCTGGGGGATGCCATGCTGAGGATTGTAAGGACCAAGACGCGGCCCCTGCTGCATGTGATGCGCTGCTGGAGCCTGGTGGCCCCACACCTGGTGGAGGTGAGTATCCAGGAAGTGGGAAAAACCTTCCAGCTCCAGAAACTCCCACAGCTGAGCCAGTACAGGGGTCCCAGTGGTATGTGGATAGAGGTCCACCATAACCAGGGACCAGTGGTAATCTTTGCATCAGCTAATGATAAGCAACATCGTTCTCTGTTCTATCTCGCAGCATCTAAAGAGTCACCGCCAAGGTCCCACTCTGACCTTCTTTCTTTGTAATTGTGCATCCCACTTGCCTTGCACAGCCATGTTTTCATTCTTTATGATTTTATGTATGGTATCTACCTGCATTTCCAGCTAAAGGACAAACAGCTAACCCCAAATATCCTTCACACATACACACACATAGCTGTGTGTTTGGTTCCTGCCAATCTCTAATTTTTAATCACTAAATATACTCAGTATATTCTGAAGGGGAACCCTGAATCCTTGCTTGCCCAATAAAATACTAGCCTCCTTTCACTTTTCAAAGGAAAGCAGTTCATGCAATAAAATATGCTTCAAGATTTATTTATTTGAAAAACATGAGAGCTAGAGAGAAAGAGAAAAGATATATCTCTTATCCACTCTTATCCACTGATTCACTGTCTCCAAAAGGCTAACATTGCCAGGGTTGAATCAAAAAGAAATCCAGGTTCTTCCAGGTCTCCCATGTGGATGTGGGGGCCCAAGCAACTGAACCATCTGCTGCTACTTTCCCAGGAACATTAAGCAAGGAGCTAGATTGGAAGTGGAAAACCGGGACTAGAGCCACGGTCCATGCAAAAAACCAGACTTGTAACAGACAGCTAATTTACTATGCCACAATACCAGGCCTGTGTGATCAGTTTTCTGGCAAGCCTATATCTAAGCATCTCTGTATATAGTGACCTGACTCCTAAGTTGCTTGTATTACCCTGTTTTGCAGCAAAACTATTCTAAATAATCCTTTAGTTTTGTCTTATAGAGCTAAGCGACAAAATATTTTTGGAACCTAATTCAGTAACCTGAGAATGTTCTAGTAAAAAAAAATGAGTAGAAAATTGTAACTTAGCCACAGAACAGAGCCTTTCACTTTTCTATTAAACTATAACAAACTGTTTTAAAACCCCATTGCCAGAGCTGTGGCATAGTTATTTAGGCTGCCACCTGCAACTCTAACATCCCATATAGGCAAAAGTTCAATTCCCAGATGCTCTACTTCCAATCCAGCTGCGACTAGCACAGACAGCAGAGGATGGCCCTACCTGCACCTGGGAAAGGCGAAGCTCCTGTCTACTGGTTTTGATCTCGCCCAGCCCTGATTGTTGTGGCCATTTGGGGAGTCACAAGTGAATGGAAGAATATTCTTTCTCTGGATCTCTCTCTCTCTCTCTCTCTCTCTCTCCCCCCCTAGTTCTCAAACTCTGCTTTCAAATAAAATAAAAATCTTTTAAAAGGAAAGAAAATCTAATGACTTTTCACAATAACCATTTATTTAGCTCATGATTCTGTGAATCACAAATTCAATGGAAACTTACACTTACGTGCTGGGCTCAGCCAGATTGGCTGGTCTTAGCTGGCCTTACTTACCTATCAATGGCCAGCTGGTTCATGATAACCTTAACTTCTCAGCCTGGACAAACAGGTTTTTCTCTCTCTCTCTGAATATTTGGACTGTGAGTTATATAATGAATTTAGTATGGCCCTGCCAACACAATAAGCAGAAATCTAAATTCAGTATATCTCTAGCAGGCCAGTTTTCACTTGATAATTGAGTATGGTCCCTGAATAGTGGCATAAATATCCAAGTGATCTTTGTCATAAAAAAGTTACCCATCCCTATATGAATGTTCATGTAGTTTGTCCCGCAGTCCACCAGCCTCCATTCACTCACATGGTTTTCTTACACTCGAAAGAACAGTCCAAGGGTAGACCCCAAATCCTAACACGTTCTCATTCTTTCTGTATTGTTCACCATGGTGCCACTGGCCCAGGAAATTCCTAAGTCCAAGCCCAAGCCCAAGGTCAGCATGGGATCGGACCACTAAGGTCACTGATCCTAGGAGCCATAAACCAATTGGAGCTCTTGTTGCAGTTGCTGCACCTCGCTGAGGATCAGACAATGGCCCTCATGATCTTCAGATGCATAGGGCAAGGCTATGGATGAGACCATGAGCAGTTCCCACACTTGGTACTGGTATCTTCAAGGCAAGCAAATTCTACACCACCCAGGAGAACTGTACTGCTTGTTTTCTGAAGGAAGAAGTGAATAGATACTCTGATTTCTCCAGAAATGTTAAAGTGAAAGCAGTCTTCCAATGACTGTGCATAGCTGGCCTCATCCCTTAGTGGTTGACTTCAGTAGAGTTGTTCTTTTCACCTCTGGGTGCCAAGCAGGGCAAGGGGAGCCTGCAGAAGCCACATTGTCACTTGATTGGTGTCCTCACGGTGTTCTACTGTCTCATGGATTTTGCAGGCTGCCTGCCACAAGGAAAGGCACGTGTCCCAAAAGGCTGTCTCCTTCATCCATGACATTCTGACAGAGGTTCTGACTGACTGGAATGAGCCACCTCATTTTCACTTTAATGAAGCCCTCTTCCGTCCTTTCGAGCGTATCATGCAGCTGGAGTTGTGTGATGAAGATGTCCAAGACCAGGTCAGTGGGACAAGATGCTCAGCATCATCAGTACAGCCGGCCTTCATTGAGGGCAATGGCAGGTGCTTTCTGTGAACTTGGCATACTTAATCTTTCCTATAACCTCACATCAGTGACACAGAGAAGTTATGTGAAGAATATATCATTAGTGATTGGACTTTAACTCAGCATCTGGCTCTACTGCTTATGTCTGTTTATTCCCAACTGCCACTGTAATCTCTACTAAGAGACAAACCATGAAAGAACTGGATCAAAAAAGTAACAAAGAAAAAAATCTCAAATGAGAAAAAATACAACACATCAAAATTTTGATCAAAGCAGTACTTAGAGGTAAATTGTAATTGCAATTTTATATATTAGAAAGGAAGAATGAGCTAAAGAAATAAATTAATATGTGGTCAATTTTTGACAGATGCAATTGTATTTCAGTAGATGGAGAGAATATTATCAGCAAGTGATGCTTGAATATGTGCAATTAAAATGAACTTATGCCCTTACCTGTTACCATACACAAATGATGACTCAAAGTAGGTCATGTCTTAAATATCAGAGCCAAAGTAGAAGTACTTCTAGAAGGAAGCACAGGAGATAATCATTGAGACTTCGGATTAGACAGTATTTTCTTAGAAATAGCACTAACTGTGAGCTACAAAAACTGAGGAATTAGACTTTACCAATTTTTAAAAATTTCATTATTTCATTTTACGACACAGTTTCATATTTAAAACTTGTGCTCCTTAAAGTGCGCTGTTACACTCAGAAACTGGGGCTGGCATTGTGGTACAGCCAGTTAAGCTGCCTGCAGCACCAGCATTCCCAATGAGGTCTGGTTTGAGTCCTGAATATTTTGCTTGCAGTTTATCTCCCTGCTAATGCACCTGAGAAAGCAAATGAAGATGCTCCAAGAACTTGGGCCATTATGCCCATATGGGGGTGCCAGATGTAACTCCAAGCTCCTAGCTTTGGCCTGGCCCAGCCCTAGCCATAGCAATTTAGATAGTGAACTAGCAGGTGGAAGATCTCCCTCTCCTTCTCTCTTCATCTCTGCCTCGGTCTCTTGCTATCTCTTTACAACTCCAACTTTCACATACACAAATCTTTAATAAACAAATAAGCCAAAAGATGTGAAAATCTTGTAAATTGCTTCTCAAGAAGAATTCAAATGTAGAGCACGTAAAGAATGTTAACTCAATAACAACAAGACAATAATGAGAGGCAGACCTTTGGCCTAGTGCATGAGGGACACCCACATCCTGTATCAGAAAGTGGGTGTTAGGTCTGAACTCTGCTCCCAATTCCAGCTTCCTACTCCTGTGCACCTTTTTTTTTTTTTAATTAATTGTATTGCATTATGTGACATAGTGTTATGGGCACTGGGATTCCCCCCACCCCTCCCGGAACCCTCTCCCCATGGTGGATTTCTCCACCTTGCTGCCTTACCACAGTTCAAATTCAGTTGAGGTTCTTTCATTGGAAGTATTTACCAAGCATAAAGTCCAGCGTCTTATTATCCTAGTGGGTTCAACAATTTCTTGGGAGACCATCTTTGGTCTGAAGGTAAAGCCGGCAAAGTATCATCCCAGTCAATTAAAAGCCCCGACATAACATCAACAACCATTTACAACCTTATGGCATTAATTGACATAGTACTGATTAACAATGTTAATAGGAAAATGCAGTTCTTAACTACATCCTGTGACTTCTTCATAGACATTTCAATTTTTGGTTTATATTCAGCCGGATTCCATACACCTCAAAATGGCTATAGATTACTATTCAGCTGTCTCGTCTATTTTTTATTTTAGTATTTAGCTGTTTATAGTGTTGAAGCATGATTTTGCTGAACTTAGTTGAACTTAGCTTCCTACTCCATGCACCTTTGAAGGCAGCAGTGAATCCCTGTAACTGACTTGGGAGTTCTTGGTTCCAGGCTTCAGCGCCTGCCTGGGGCTATTGTGGACATTCAGGGACAGATCTAGGGCACAGGAAGGACCCTTTCCCTCTTTTTTTCCCACCATCTTGCTCTCTTTCCAATAAGATAAATTTAAAATAAGGCTTAGCATGATTGCCCAATGGCTAAATCCTCATTTTGCAAGTGCTAACATCCCATATGGGCACCAGTTCATGTTCAAGCTATTCTGCTTCCCATCCAGCTCCCTGCTGGTGGTCTGGGAAAGCAATGGGGGATGGCTCAAATCCTTAGATCCCTGTTCCTGCAAGGGAGACCCAGAAGAAGTTCCAGGATCCTGGCTTTGGATCAGCTTAGCGCCGACTGTTGCAGTCACTTGGAGAGTGAACCAGCAGATGGACAATGTCTTTACTTCTCTCCAAAAATCTGATCTGCCTTTCCATTAAAAATAAAGCTTTAAAAAGGAATTCAAAAATAAATTTTGGAAAGACAATAATTAAGGGGCCAGCATTGTGGGATTGTAAAGCCATTTCCTCTAACACCAAAATTCCATATGGGTGCTGGTTTGAGTTTAAGCTGACCTATGATCCAATTCAACCCCCTGCTAATGCACCCAGGAAATCTGTGAAAAATGTCCCAAGTCCTTGGGCCTTGCACCAAGTAGGAGACCTGGATGAAGTTCCGGGCTCCTGGCTTCAGCCTGACACACCCTGACCATGGAGGTCATCTAGGGAGTGAGCAAGCAGTTGGAAGATCTCTTCTCTCTGTAGCTTTCAAATAAAATAGATATTTTTAAAAATAAAAATGTGAAGATACAAGCCTAGCTTTTAAAAAAAAATCAAAATACCTACAGTAGCTAATTAGCATGTGGAAATTCGCTCAGTAATGTTACTCATTAGCAAATATGCATATTCATGCAACATAGATGCTTTATTTGGAAGACTCTGTCTGGGTTACAGCTTTCCTTTCACTAAAACTAATCCAGAAGTAGATGGCAGAGAAGTATACCACCCACCTGTGCAATGTTTCTCTTATGCATTTGTTGTGCCCTTTGCCTCTGCCAGGTGGTCACATCCATCGGTGAGCTGGTGGAAGTATGCTCCACACGCATCCAGTCGGGGTGGAGGCCCTTGTTCAGTGCTCTGGAAACAGTGCACAGCGGGAACAAGTCCGAGGTCAAGGAGTACCTGGTTGGTGATTACTCCATGGGTAAGAATGCTTGAGTGATTCTTGCTGCAGAACTTTGGTACTTTGCACCGTGTTTCATGTTAACCAAGGTAACTGGACACTAGGGCAGACAGACTTTCAGCTCTGTGCCTTGGCAGGAAATGATGTGAGGTCTTAGGGACCCAAGAGCCCTAACCGAGCATTGCCGGGCTCTGCTCATGCTGACTGAACAAAAGGCTAAGTTGGTGCTGGCATTTCACTTGTACAGTGCTGTTACACTGGGGCTTCATCCCCAGTGCCCAAAAGAAAAAATACTATCCCAAAGTACCGTGGCCCAGTAGAATTGCTATTGAACAGGTTGGATGTGGCTAGAAATGGATAGACAAAGAGCATTCAGTGTTTAAGAACCCACCAGGAGTCAGGAGACTTAGCATGTGGTTCAGGCTGATTTGCCAATCTGGCTCAGATTTATCCAGCAAAGTATATCTGACCAGCAAATACAAAAGTGGGCTTCAATGCACCCTGGTCTTTCTATGAAGACTTTCTTCCTCCAGGAGTAACAACACTCCACATATTTCTGCCCCCAGGAATTCTGTTAGAGACCCAGCTGGCAACTGGTTATGCAGGCACCCTCTGCTTGGCATATTCCAAGATTCCACACAAAGGAAAGCAGGTGTTAGTCCAGATTGTTTGCACAAACTATCTAAGCATGGAGATGTGCCCTTAGCAGTTAACCACTCCAGGAAACAGTGTGCAAGCCAGTTTTCAGCTGCCAGTTGAGGGCCAGCTGACTGAAGCCATCCATTCCTCAGCTAGGAAAACATTTGTGTATGTCATGGAAGGTGTTCCCAGATGGTCCTTTGCCTCACTGGTAGATGTCCTTCAGTGCACAGAAGCAGTCCATAAGCCACAGGTTTTCCTGCCCTTGGATCTCACCCACTGCATCAGCCCTGTGTACTCTAGCTTGGCCATCCTCTCCAAAGGCTGCTTTCTTGGTGGCCTTCCTGCAACTGCCCCTGCAAGCAAATCTAAGGATAGCATTGGAGCCATACAGTTGTCCAATCCAAAGGCTGAGGCATTTCTTCAGGAGACTTTCGAAGACTCCTTGGAAGGTTCTGGGAGTATGGGCAACCCAAGGAAGAAACTAACCTTTGAATAATCTTCCTCCTTCAGGCAAAGGGCAGGCACCGGTGTTTGATGTCTTTGAGGCATTTCTCAACACTGACAACATCCAGGTCTTTGCTAATGCAGCCACCAGTTACATCATGTGCCTTATGAAGTTTGTCAAAGGACTGGGTAAGCTCACTTCTCCTTCCATGCCATCATACATCTAGGGGCTCTGCCCAGGGTGGCTTTGTGTGGAAGACTGTGTTAGTGTGTCTCATTGCCAGGTCCAAAGCCCTAGGGCTGGACACCTCATCATGAAGATAAGTGCATTTGGCTCCCAGTTGTGGAGACTGAAATTCCAAACAGCATGGCATGGGCTCTAGTGAGGGCCCACTAGTCTACAGTATATCGTGCTGGATGGCATCTCAGCAGGAGCATGTGTGAATGGAAGAGATCCCATGGCCATACAGGAAGCCAGAGGTGGGGAGGGAGATGATAAAGTGGGGGAGAGCTCTTTGAGAACAGGACAGTCTCTTCTGGAAAGAACACTTCCAATGCCTCCTTGCAGTAGGCTCCATGACCCTTGTCAGCATCGACACATTGGGAACCAAGCTTCAGGCACATGAATCCTTGGAGCACATTCAAGCCATGACTAAAGCAGAGGGCATGGAGACAGGGCTCACTGACCCCTTTCAGCAAGCAGACATCCTGGGGTATAAGAAAACAGCTCTGTGCCATACAGCCAGATGCAGTGAAAGTAGCTGGGATTGTGTCCAGGGTTAATAGCATACCTTGCATTTGTAGAACATCTTATATGCCGCTTATTTTTGTATGTATTCTTTCATATTGCCTTTTTTTTTTAGTGTTAGAACAATTAATGTTATCCTCAATCGTTGCACTTACAACATCTTCAGTGTCACACAATTAACCACCTGACCTTGATTTCCAGCCCTTGAACAAAAATCAAGAGTTTGTTTCCCGCACACCCTGCCCCCCACCACCTACTTTTGGTCTCTTTATCTTAAAATATCTGACTGTTTGTTCTGGAAGTATAGAAGTTCCTCTTCTTTGAAGCCCTGTATATTTTCGGAACAACTTAGCTAATTTCATCCTCAATTTAGGAACAGTAGGCTCTTCCTAGACAATATGACCGCTGTAGCAGTTTTAGACAGCATGTGCTTACCTGTGGTGAAACAGAAGGAAGCAGTTATACCAAGAGTTCAGCTGAAACCTCAGGTTTGTGGAGTTTTGCTGTGGTGTACCCTTGGACCTGGAATCTGAGAACCTTGGAAATGAGAGAAAGCAGAGATGTGATTCTTTTACATTCTTATTAAATAACAGATAATCATTTTGTTAAGGGAATTAAGACATAAAGAATCTCTGTAACTTCACTAATGATGTCCTCATTTTTGGAATAGAAACAAAATAGAAGGCTCAGGCTACAGCCTGACAGCCACGTTCCAGTCTTAACTCCCATTCCATTCTGCCACACGGCAGCCCTCTCTGTCCTCAGAATACATTCTGAGACCCTCGGGGGAAGTCTGAAACCCTAGGTAGCACCAAACTCTCCATATACTGTGTTTTTCCTATATTTTGCCCAATGTCCTTGTTTCCAGTGTTGTGGAATGGTCCCACCTTATCAGGTCTTTCTGTAGTAGATACAGTGGTCCCCCGAGGAAACCTAACAACAGAGAGTACAGAAGGCAGGTGGATACCTTCTGTTTTCATATACATATGTACCTACAATAAACTTGAATTCGTAAGTTAGGAAAAACAAGAGATCAACAATACAGATAATAAAATAGATAGTCATAAAATAGAATGCTGAAAACAAAGACCACTGGACAATGGAAGCAGTTGCTGGTCAATGAGCAGGCTATATATGTTATATGAATACACTGAACTAAGGGGTGATCTACATCCCAGGCATGGTAGACTAGATGAGATCAGATTTCATCAGCTACTCAGAAAAGTGGACATTATTAATCTTAGGCAGTGTTTATTTCTGGAATTATCCCCTTAGTATTTTCAGATCATATGTCCCAATAGAGGTCCCGAGATGATGTGCTCCACCCCAAGTGGCTTACAAGGACCAGTGTTGCCCAGAATTAGGATACCTAAATGGAAAGCAAGCTAGATGTGGAGAATGACCTAACCATGCAGGCTGTTATTACAAAATACCTCACACTGGGCCACATCTGAACAATGGAAAATCATTTATTCTTTCCTTTGAAAGATAGAAATCTCCCCATTTACTGCTTATCTCTGCAAAATACCTACAACAGTTGGGACCGGACCAGACTGAAGTCAGCAGCCAGGAATTCAATCTGATTCTCCCACCTGGGTGCCAGGGACCCAAGTATTTGAGACATCACCTGCTGCCTGCCAGAGGACGCAGTAGCAGGAAGCCCAATCTGAAGCTGAGCTAGCCCTCAAGTCCAGGGACTCCAGTATGGGATATGGGCATCCCAAGTGGTGACTTAACCACTGCACCCCAAAGCTTCATGCTTGCAGTTCTAGTGGCCAGGGAGCCTAGGGTCAAGGCGCCAGCACAGTCCATGTCTGGTGATAGATTATGCTGTATGTTTTCTTGGTGCATGCTGACCTAGCAGAAGGAGAAAGGCAGCTCTCAGGAGCACTAATCTCAGTCACTTTTTCATACCATCACCTTGATTGCAGCGCTTCAATACATGAACTGGGGAAGGGAGAACACAAACACTCAGTCCATAGCAGAGAAGAAAGTAAGGCATTCTCCTCTGGATGTTTAGACCTGTTAATCTTGAGTGAAATAAAGTAAAGATACCTGGTGAGCTGCTAGAAATGAAAGATTATGTCTCTGCAAGAAGTTGGAGACTGAAAATAGGAAAATTGACCAGTGTGCATATGTAAGGGATTTAAATCAGATAGTTTGTACTCTTCTTCTATGTGTTACAAAGTAGAATTAGTTGTATAGGACTTGGGGGTGAGTTGGGAGAGGCAGAATCCCCCATACAGCCTCTCTGCCCGTAGGAGCGCCATGTGTGTGGACTTAGATGAGTTACATAGCAGCCACGGTAAATCTCTCTCTTTCTCTCTTTCTCTCTCTCTCTCTCTTTGGGAAACCATAATCAGCAGCATAGGAAATAGCTTATTTTTAGTTCTTACCTGCTTATTTCACATGCACTTGACCTTCTGTTTTTATAACATGTGATATGCTCATGTAAAGCAAGGACTGTCCCACTGTAGCTTCCTGCTCAAATTTAACCCACTGACAGTTGTTAATAAGTTTTATTGGAACACAGCCATGCTCACTCAGCAACTGCTGCTTTCCTGCTAATTCAACAGGATGGAGTTAGCATACAGTATGATGTATAAATCCTTAAGTACTTAATGTCTAACCCTTTATCAAAAGAAATTGCCAGTGCATTGTCTAAAGCATAAACAATGGCTATGTTTTGTTGTCATTTAAAAGGCAAAATATACCACACTGCCTCAATTTTTAAAAAGATTTCTTTTTTATTGCAAAGTCAGATATACGGAGAGGAGGAAAGACAGAGAGGAAGAGCTTCTGTCCATTGATTCATTCTCCAATCGGCTGCAAGGGACAGAGCTGAGCCAATCCAAAGCCAGGGGCCGGAGCCTCTTCTGGGTCTCCCACATGGGTGCAGGTCCCAAGGTTTTGGGCTGTTCTCGACTGCTTTCCCAGGCCACAAGTATGGAGCTGGATGGGATGTAAGGCTGCTGGATTAGAACCAGTACCCATATGGGATCCCAGCACGTTCAAGGGGAGGACTTTAGCTGCTAGGCTACCATGCCAGGCCCCTTCTCTGATTTTTTAGGTAATTGGTCATTATATTTGTTTCCCACAGGGAAGGTGTTAGTTGCAACAGATGTAGACAATTAGAAACGATCAGTGCTGTGGAAAGATTTTATACAAGTATAGCAATAGTTCATTAAATAAGAAGAAAATGTGATTCTTCATTACTCCTTACCCATAGACAATCTAGATACCCTGCGAGAGCTGTCTTGCATGTTTAGGTAAGTACCTAAACATGCAGAATCCACTGAAACACAAGTAGTGTGTGTTCTCAAACCCCAGACACAATCTACACAGAGACAGTCTTCATGCATCGTCACCGCCTAATGCCATGCACTGCCAACACACGGTGCATTCTAGTAGCAGAGGCTGAGCGCTTCGTGGCATCCCAGCTCAGGGCTCATTTCCGGGCCTGTGCCCTGCCATCAACAGTTAGAGTTCAGGGGAAGTGGATGCCAAAGAATGTATGTGCATGATTTAGCAAAAGGGGCAGTTGGAAAACAGCGTAATCCAACCTAAGAACGTGCCAGGGTCCCACTTCTAGTCCACACTTGCGCCTACAGGGGGAAAGGACTGAAAGGATTATTTTGTCTTAGTTTTGTACTGTTTTAGTCACTATTTGGGGAACAAACGCCATGTGAGTTAAAGGCCGGGTAATTCTGTTTCTGTGTGCCCACACTCCCCCAGGGGAGGTGGACTGTAAGGAGATTGGAGACTGCGTGCCTGGCCCAGGAGCCACGTCCACCGACCTGTGCCTGCCCGCCCTGGAGTACCTGAGGCGCTGCTCTCAGGTAAGAGACCTCCGCCCCCACCAGGATCTACCGAGTCCATTTTTTCTGGCAGACTTTCTGAAGCCCTCTTTATGCATGGATGCCTTTGCGTGAATCCCCAGAGAACAACTTCCTGCTCTCTCGGAAGAGACTGAGACATGGGGTGGGAGTCTCTGGTGTTTATCCTACCCCTCCCACAAAGGAAAGGAAATAATGAGGACGCAGAGACACACAGGAGGACCCTGAGGCCTGGGAAGCGTCCCCCACGCTATGCATGCATTCCCACAGTGTCTGTCAGGCAGGAAGGAGAGAAAGGGGTCAGGGTCACAATGTCACGGATGCTTCCATGATGGTATGGAAATGTGGAAGGTGAGGTGCAGACAGTGGCCGGAGGTGCTGGGTAAAGGAGGAGGAGCGTGTTTCAACAAGGCCTGGCAAAGGGAGCCAACGGAAGGTTTATCAGAGCCAACATGACCTTCGTCATGTTTTGTCCTTTCCCACGTGCAGTGCCTGCCAGTCCTGGCCACGCCTTCCTGCCAGCCCTTTCTCCGGCTCCGGAGACAGCCCCGTCATAGTAGTTTCTTTCCCGTCTCCTCAGGCTGTGTGCACAGCTATCTGCCACCTTTGCCTCCTCTAGCTTACTCCCTTGGGCCCCACGTGACAAAACCCCTGGCTTCCTCCCCACGCACACGTCCCTTTCTCCACCGCCCCCCCCACGCTCGCTCACTCTCTGGCGTTCCAGTTCCCTTACCGCCTCAGTACAACATGCTCATAGCTCCCCAGGATAATTGTCATGCCGTATTCCTGGTCTGTCATAACAGCCCAGACGTCTGTGTGACATGCCTCATCTGCCACACCTCAGCTCCCTACCAGTGTCACACACGCGCGTCACTCCTTATTGTACCAACCCTTGAGTTTTCCCTGTAGCGAGGATACTGGAAGTTTTGTTCCTTGTGAAGAGATGGTACTGCATAAAACCTACAAGGACAGGCACTTTTGCCCATCTGCACCCCAGTTCAGATTAGGCATGGCAGGCAGATTTTTTAATCCATGAAACTAAAGAATCTTGGGAATTTGGTCCAGGGCCAAAGGATCAGACTTCAACAATGGAACAAAGAGCCAAGCCACTCTTCAGTGCTACTCTTTTAAATATATGTGTGTATTTTTAAAATATGTATATTATATATGATCTACATTGTACTTATACATATAATATCATATATATACTGTAAAATATATATATATTGATTTGAGAGGCAAGGAGATAGGGTTCCCATCCGCAGATTTGCTACCCAAATTCCTACAATGACTAGGGCTGAGCTCATGCTAAAGCCAGGAGCCAGGAACTCAGCCCAGGTCTCCCACGTGAGTAGCAGGAACTCAGTCGCTTGAGCCATCACAGCTGCCTTCCAGTGTCTGCATTGATAGCAAGCTGGCGTCAAGAACCAAGTATCAAACCCAGTTACTCGGACAGGGGGTGCAGGTTAACTACCAAGCTAAGCTCTACTTCTGACACCTTTCTCTCCCCCACCTGACCTTATATGCCTCCATTTTCCCCAATGTCTCATTATCCTTGTTTCTAGTGTGGCTGACTCAGGAAAATACCAGAATCTGGAATCCCATTTGCTAGTCTTCTCGGGATCCCAGAGGCAAAAATGCAAAAGCTCTGTAATGTTCCAACTTTGACACTGAAAAATTACCCACTGTTTTAATTGCTGTTTCATCTGCTCGGTGGAATAAATACCTCTAGTAAATGACCTCTTAAAACCCCAATCGCAAAACTGGGGGGGTGCAGAAATCAGAAAACTCATTAAAGAAAAATCCCAATCATATTCAACAACCTAAAAATTTGAAGACATCAGAGCTTTTCTCCCATTTTACTGCTGCATAATACTACCATTCTTTAACATCCAGAGTGCACCTTTTTCCAATAGATAATTGAAAGCTTTTTATCATTTTTAGTTACTGGCCAAGATATATAAAATGCCCTTGAAGCCAATATTCCTTAGTGGGCGACTTGCTAGCTTGCCACGAAGACTTCAGGAGCAATCAGCAAGCAGTGAGGATGGCATCGAATCAGTCCTATCTGATTTTGATGACGACACTGGTAAGTTGAATCAGGTTATATGTGATGTTCATATTCCCAGGAGATTAAGTGATAAGTAGCTAATAGTAGGCAAGAAGGAACATACAGTTTTGTTCTTTGCGTATAAAAATATGTTTCCCTAAAGTTGCCATGAAATTTCCAAGCATGTAACTTTCCAGTAGTCCTCCAGACTTTTTTGGATGCCTTCATTTAAAATGTACTTTCTAATTTTGAGTGGAATTCAGCAAATCATAATGAAATGCATTGCTGCAATGGTACTTCGAGTGGCTGATAACTTGCATTAACAACCTTTTAGGAAGCACATCCATTGCATAAGCAATTTCTGCGGGATGTTTTAGAGACTTCGGCACTTAAGGCATCACTGAAAGAATTTGTGACTGTGAGGCTGAAGGCCAAGGAGAAGACAATTTTAAGGAATTTGGTACAAATTTCTTAAAAGTCTATGATGTCATGTGATGCAGTTCAATTGATTTTAGATAATTTTCAGATGGGTTAACTCCTTAGCTGTGTTGTCCTCTATCTTCGGAAACCCAGTTTCTTTGCTTCTCTAAATGGAAACTAGAACCCTTCTTCTAAATGGAAATTATAACCCTTCCATAGGTCCAATTTCCAAGAATAGGATGTTTCCAATTTTATCAGTTTTGCCAAAGGACTTTTTTGGGGGTCGTTTAAATTTGTTCTAATGTTATTCTATTTTGCTATTACAAATTCATATTGCGGGATAGCTGGAATATTTCATTTTCAATAGAGAATATAAAAGCAACCCAACCTCACTAGTTCAGATGAGTCATGGGAAAGCAGTATAGGAGAAAATAAACAGCTACGTAGAGAACAATTAAAAGAATGGAAATTGGCTCGATTTTTGCCTAGCAGAGGCATCATTTTAATGATTTGGTAAGAATAATTTTTACTTCTTATCTAAACCGGAGGCTGAAAGCCTAAGCAGAAGCTAATGTTATGTCTAATGTGTCCTTCTAAGCAGTTGCAAATGGTTGTGTATGGAACAATGAGTGTTGCCCTTCTCTCTGAAGCAAAGCAGTCATCAGTATTTTTTCTAGGAAGACCATCTTAGGGATATAGTTCAGTCAAGTACCCACCTAAAGTTTCCCATATTATCTACTCATCAAGACTTATAGTTATAAATATGCCTGCAACATGGATGAAAAAGAAAGAACAAAGAGATTTAAGTTAGCATTAAAAATTAAACAGTTCTCAATGTTGAGATTTTCTCGTGTGATCATCTTAACACAAAATACACAAGGGAATTGTTCAAAAATGTTCAAGGAAATGTGCATTATGAAAAATAATGCCTGGGTTTTAAATTTTGGCAACAAAATACTTCCTTTTACTCTATTTTTCATGAACCTCTTAAAGGACCTTCCTATACGTACAGGCAAATGTGCAGCATATATAGCTAACAACTAAACACTGCCATCTGCCAGCAGCCTTTGGCCCAACTCAGATCTTGTATTTCTTCCTTCTCTCTCTCTACACTTGAGTTTAAAACAAACCCAAAACATTACAGCATTTCATCTGCAAATGTGTCAGTATGGGTATTTTGAAGGGAACAGAGCATAACCACAATGCCATTATCACACCTGAAAATCAATAACTTCCAATGGATTTGAGATTGCCAGAGGCTGCGGTGAGAGAAGTCACTGCTAAATGGTGAACAGAATTTATACTTGAGGTAACAAAAAATGTTTTGGAAATAGCACTGATGATCTGAGTAACATTGTGTATGTAATTAACAATTGATTGTAAAGCAGCCATTTTTATTATTACTAAGTCAATGGACCCAAAAGGATATTTTATGATTTTTGCTATCACCAGCTTCTAAGAAACCTGATAGCCCTAAAAAATACAATGAATTTCTATATCACACTTCTGTTAAAAGGGAACAAGTAAGGAAAGTGAGATGTTTTGTTCCTTTGACTTTGTCAAAGCATGCAGAATATGTTTAGAGATGGAGGGCTCACACAGTGGGTGATGTCGACAGCTTAGGTACCATGTTTGGTTGAGCTGCACCGTAATTCTTTGTTAGGTTCACTGGATGTCATGGAGGTGTGCTTTTGGGTTGCCAGGTCTCATTGAAGTCTGGATCATCCTGCTGGAGCAGCTGACGGCAGCTGTGTCCAATTGTCCACGTCAGCACCAACCACCAACCTTGGACCTGCTTTTTGAGCTGTTGAGAGATGTCACCAAAATACCGGGTAAGCAGATTTATGTTTGCTGCTGTGGATACTCTCCTAGGAAAGTACTTCTATGGGCTATCTACCTGTTTTCACTTAAAGTGTCACACGCAACAGATGCTAGGAGAATACTTCCAAAAGGTATGTCTATTTTGATGCAAAAGAATTATTTCATGCTTCAAAATGCATACTGAAAACCAAGGGTTTCAAATATTTCTACATCAAAATAAACTTCTCCACTAATTCCATATTTTTTCACAAATTCTTAATGCACTCTCAGATTTGCTAAATGGCTGTGATATACAATGTTTAAGCTATATCCTGTGGATTTAACATTTCTTCTAGGTCATTAGCTAATTGTGTTGAATTGCCACATTGGCTGGGGCTGAGGATGTTCCTGTGGGCCACTTGGCCAGGTCTTGTGATCTATGCTGCTAGTGCCCAGGCTGCCTGTAGAATTCACTAATGCATGCTGCTGTCCCAGAGCTGTCCATAGAGCTCACCAGGTCTGCCACTCCTGAGAACATGCAGTATTAACACAACAACATCCTGCTGGCATAAAGGTCAAAGGCACAAGATTTGAAAAGACATTTAATGCTTACCTGGTACAGTCCCCTGATTTTATGAGAGAATGGCCCTTAGACACATTTCTTCTGAATTAAACACATTTAGCATGCACACAGCTCTTTCTGGCAGTTTACAGAAGTTTGCTGGAAGAATAAGTTTATGAAGCCATTAATTCTATAATGTGGAGTTTGTATTTATCTTACTAAAGACTCAATCATTGACACTGTTTCTGTAGCAAATTCTATTTTCAGGAAAAAATACTGGAGCTACTCCCACACACTAGATAGAAACATAAGGTGGTATCTTACGGAATTATTTGCCACTCTACATGTTTCAGTGTTTGGTACCACTTCTGCTTTCATATTAATTACCACTAAATGTTAACAAGGGCATCTAAACCAACATTTTCACTCATAGATATATGAGAATTAAAGAGTTTAATAGTGATGAAGACAAAAGCATGTATATAAAATAAGGAATGGTAAATATATTTTCAGACATTAAAATAGTATTTGTAAATGATATTTAATGGCATAGATAATACAGGGATTATGTTAAAATTTATACATTATAGAGTCCTTTCAACTGCATAAATCTTTGTGCATTTCTACACAAATATATCCCTGCCTTTAAAAAGAAAATACATCAAAATGTCATTATCTGGGTGAGTTTTTCCTCTGCATTTCATGTAAGTTCCATGTTTACTGAAAAATGCATAACTTGGTTTTGTAATCCAAATTTTTTAAATGATTTCCCTAATATTACCTGGGGGAAAAAAGTAGACATCTTAAATATCCTTCAGAGATATCCCTTAAGTAGCCCTAAATCCACTGCAGTAATGACGTACAATAGAAATGTAATGTGACAATTAAAAACTAGCTAGATTTGCTGATCAACATGCAGAACACAGATTACATCATCCCTTTTATATAAAACTAATTTGGAAAAACACAGATCTGTTTTTCTCTGTTGTACAGTAACATAAGCTCCTACATTTTTAAAGGGTCTTTTCCTAGATACATACATGTAGCTACTTAATCTGTGGGCCAGCAATTGACCAATTGATATTCCAACTTCATTTAACAACTAAATTGTTTTATGATTAGAATCATCACTAAAATCACAGACAACATAGAAAAAAAAATGACTCAGGTGTTCTCTCATCACTGGTACATTCTTTTGCTCTATTTGTGACTTAATGCCAAGTAATGACAAGGTGCTTTTGATATGGACTTTTCTTTTTCAGGTCCAGGGTTCGGGATCTATGCTGTGGTGCACCTTCTCCTTCCTGTGATGTCCCTTTGGCTCCGCCGTAGCCATAAAGACCACTCCTATTGGGACGTGGCCTCTGCTAATTTCAAGCACGCCATTGGTCTGTCCTGTGAGCTGGTGGTGGAACACATACAAAGCTTTCTACACTCAGGTAGCTTTATGCCTGGCTGGTTCATGGCAGGGGATGCTGAAAGGCAGTACCTTGTCTAAAAGTGCATCATAACTACCTAATGAGAATGTCATTGTATGACTTTGGCCCTGGGATTTATTGACATAGAATTACAAGCGCAGTGCCAGCTTTTTATAGTATATCAACAAAAACCTGATACCCATATGTCATCTGCAAAATTACCAGAGCATTCAAAATGCATGCCTGGTTAGAGAAAATACCTGTAGGGTGGTAACACAGCAAGTTAAACTACCACTTAAAACTCCTGCATCCCAGATCAGAGTACTGGGGCAAGTCCTAGGTGTTCTATTTCTGATCCAGCTTCCTGGTTATGCCTTTATTTATCTACCTATGTCTATTTATTCATGATAGAGAGTTATAGAGCAAGAGGGTAAGAGATCTTCCATCTGTGGATTCACTCCCCATGTTGGCAACAACAACTAGAGCTGTTCCAGTCTGAAGCTAGAGCTTCTTCCAAATCTCCCATGTGGGAACAGGGCCCAAGGATGTTGGTCATCCTCCTCTGCTTTCCCAGGCCATAAGGAGGGAGCTGGATCAAAAGTGGAACTCTGGGACGCGAACTGGTCCCTTTATGGAATGTTGGTGCTATAGGCAGAAAATGAGCTGTGGCCCTAGCCCCATGAGCCTGGCTTTCTGGGGACTCATTCTCCTCATGAACACAGGAGACCTGGATGTAGTCCCAGGCTGCAGACTGACCTGTTTCCTGTTTGTGGTGCCCATATAGCAGCTACAGAATTGATCTCTCTCTCCCCAAGTACCTTTATAAAGTGTTAATATAAAAAACTATATGCAACTCTAGCATATTTGTACATTGAGAAGGATGTCAGGTTCAAATAATGGAGCTAAAAAAAAAAGTGAAAAAACCCCCTTGGAGCCTGTGAGAGGGCAGGGTGAGTCCTGCTGTTCCTGTTTCTGTCTGAGTTCAAGTGGAGGAAAGGAGATCTTACAAAGACTTTCAATTATGGACAGGAAGTTGCTTCGCCAGCTAAGGATGCAGAGGAGTTTCTCTGGCTACAGAAGCAAGGGGCAGATAACAGCCTGATGTCTGCAGAAAAGAGGGATCCATCTGTCAGCTTTTCTGTTGATGGAACCACTTTTGTGTAATATAAACCCCTGCTCATGATCTGCCCCTGGGAAGGTCTGCAAACCATCAAGGTTGTAAGCAGAAAGGCAAGACATATGGAAGTAGATGACAAGAGGTCCCTTGTGGGAAAAACTAGAGCAATCAGAGAACACTGACCCCAAGGGAGAGCCACAAAGCAGAGGGACTGTTTCTATACTGATTGGCAAAGACCATTTGCCCTGCAATCAACAACACTTAGAAAGGAAACTGGGGCGGGGGCAGGGGGAGTCTCCTCCACATGCTAGTGGGAACTGTATCCTAAGAGGTTGTATTCTCTATCTTGCCCATTGCTTTGCACAGCAAGGGATCCCTGGAGGATTCTGTGGTATCCTGCATTCTTGGGAGAACAATGCAGATGTGTTTTTTTGGGTCAAGAGAATGTTATCATTTAGGAATATTTCTTTAAGTCTGTGGATAGTGTATAAACTGATAGGACTAATTTCACTTCCCCCAAAATTTATTTCATTTAATTCAACTATCAGAAAAGTATATTTTTCTCATTTTAAAGAATTTCCATATGGGATGAAATATATACTTCACTTTGAAAAAATATACATTAACACAAGTGAATCAAATTGTTATATCTTGCTATATGTAGCCATGGATGGAACAAGCTGAAATTGAGTGAAATTTTTTTTAAGAGAAGTGTTGTGATTTTACTAGGTATTTTGGGAGTGTTGCCCTTTTGTCATTCTTATTTTACCCAGACATTTATATATATATATATATATATATATTTTAATCACCCAGACTCATGTCATTTGCACTATGGACATTTCAGTCAACCCCTGCAAACTGGAGCTCACTGTGACCCTGCCTTCACTTTTCCCCCTAGACATCCGGTACGAGAGCATGATCAACACCATGCTGAAGGACCTCTTCGAGTTACTCGTAGCGTGTGTGGCCAAACCCACAGAAACCATCTCCAGAGTGGGCTGCTCCTGCATTAGGTGAGAAGACATGAATGGGATTGTTATTATGAAGGGTAGGAAACTCAGTCACCTTTTGTGATAGTGATCCAGTTTTAGAATTTTGTTTCTTAAAGATTTTATTTAGTTGAAAAAGAAAGAGGGAGAGAGAGAGCTTCCATCTATTGGTTCACCTCCCAAAGTCTAAACGACTGAGCCTGGGCCAGGAGGAAGACAAGAGCCAGGGACTCCATCTGGGTCTCCTGCCTGGGTGGTGATGGTTCAAGCTCTCCTGCACCTGCTACTTCCCAGGTGCATAAGCAGCATTGGACAAAGAGGTGGGGCTCCATCCCAGATACTCTGATAGGCAATGAGGTATCACAAAAGCCAGCTTTGTCCCTAGACTGTTTTTCATAAGTAACGAATAACTGTGTGCTAATACTCTTCAATCAGCAAATATTTGTAAGGCATGACACAAAGTACTCTGGTGTATAAGAAGTGATATAAACTAGAATTCCTGCCTTCCAGAAGCTGGTAGCCTATGCAGAATGACAGCATAGAGGTAAGGTCACTTGAAAATGCTAACAGTGCTGAGAAACAGCTAAATACCAGCAAACTCAGGAGGTCAGCAAGGACTTCCCCTGGCACTTGCCCAGAGGCTCCAAGGTAAACAAGCTTTGGATAGAGGAAGACTCTCTACACAGGAAAACAAAATGAACAAATGCATGGAAATTAAGAGTCCTGGGGACAATAAAATGCACTGGATTGAGTTTAAATGTTTCTTATTTGTAGAACAGTGGTAGGAAATGGGAAAAAGTGAGGTTAGAACCTGTACTGTCTTCTATGCATTGTCTGTTTCCACATTGACCTGTTTATTATGGATCCATTATTGCTTTTTATGTTGAAGTAGTTCAGGAAGTAGCATTTTGATAATGCAATACTAGATGGAAAGAAGGAAATGGTGTTAAGATACAGGCCAACTTGAAAGGACACCATAGAACAAACCTATGCATGAGTCTACCCAGATCTATTTTTTTGGTGACAACACAAAATCTGCAGATTCAAAGGTTTTGTCCTTGGTGCTTTGGGCAGGTATGTGCTCGTGACAGCAGGCCCGGTGTTCACAGAGGAGATGTGGCGGCTTGCCTGCTGTGCCCTGCAGGATGCCTTCTCTGCCACCCTCAAACCTGTCAAGGTAAATTGCTGCAAGCCGAGAGCTAGGGCAGGTCCTCATCTCCATAGCTCCCTGATGCCTCCAACCAGCCTTCTGGCTTCTCCCTGTCTCCTCTAGTAGGGAGTATCACTTGATATCCCCCAGAGACTAAGGAAGAAGTGGTTGGATCAGTACTACTGCTCAGGCACAGTGCCAGTGTCCGACCCAAAGCTGTGTGCCTTGAACTAGGATGCCCACAGTGAACATGTGCTGTCTCTTACCAGGACCTGCTGGGATGCTTCCACAGTGGCACCGAGAGCTTCAGTGGGGAAGGTTGCCAGGTGCGCGTGGCTGCTCCCTCCTCCTCTCCCAGTGCTGAGGCTGAGTACTGGCGCATCCGAGCCATGGCCCAGCAGGTAAGGCCTGGGGCTCTCTCTCAGGGCCTCCAGAGCATGTCTGCAAATCTTGTAGCATGAGACTGTGTTTCTTTACCTCAGGGATGAATACAGCTAGTCTTCAGACAGTTCATGGAAATACATATGTGTATTATGAAAGCACAGTGCATGGATTTCAAAAATGCTTGCACCAAAATAAGCTTTAGTTCTATTTTCCACAAACTTTTTAAAGTCTCCTTGTAGTTTCTCACTCTGATCTCTAACCTGTATGATTCTTCCAATCACCAGTGTTTTGTTCTCTCCATCATCCCATGCTCAGTGCACCCTACGACACCCAAACCCAGAAGAGCCTTCTCGGCAGCCCCTTGTCCTTGTACACAGTTTAATGAGGTTTCTAATAACTGTATGCTTAAATTAGACAGTGGATGGTATAGGATCACAAACTCCTTTGATTGATCTCCCGAAAAGAACAGAGCTGAGTTAATGAATTGATCATAGCAGATCATTAAAATTCAAGTGCACTCACCCATGCAGAATTCACTGTGTATCCATAGCCGTTCTCTTGTTGAGACACATGTGAGAAGTCACAAAAACAGGTTGTAAGGGCCTGAAGCAAAGAATATGATCTATGGTTTTACCTTGGAGTTCATAGAGCATAGAGAAAACATTTAGTGCACACTAGCTAAATCCCTGCACTTCCGAGACATACAAGGACTCACAGCAGTGGCATAAGTCAGAAATGGACTCCAGGACACTTAGGGTCAACAGTAAAGAAATAGAAGCAACTGTATCCCCAACACTCCATAATATGAAATCAGCAAACATGTTTGAATATCTATGTGATAGCTGCTTAAATATATATTAAATGCTCAAAGTATATCAACTATCAGATTTGAATTACAATGAAGTGGAGGTCATGATCAAAAGGTTTTATTTCCCTACAATATCCACTTCAATTCTGGATAAAGTTTCCCCATAGCACACTGACCAGCTGGGATCCCCAGATCATCCACATAAAGAACTCCATGACAATGCCCTTATTCCTGGCCTGGCCTGGCTCCCGCAGGGCTCTCTCAGCTATCCCTAAGCTATGGGACAAGGTCCTCCCACTTGCATCTCACACCACCCTGAGATGTGAGGATACTGTGGGTTCTAAAGCCAGGGAACATTTCTGCTTGGAGCACCCGGGTCAGTTTGCAGAAGCCAGGATGGAAGACATGTTGGAAGGTAGCAAGCAAGGCACTTAGGGGTGCCACTTAGGAGCAAGCAAAAGAGGGGTCCCCAAAGGGAGAGTATACCTAAATAGCAGTCACATGTAACCTCAGCGTGCAGCTCTACTTGTGCACATAGCAGCCAGAATGTGAAAATCAACAGAATCCTCTCTGAAAGAAATCAGTCTTTTACTTCCTATTTCCATCTCCCTCGCTCCCAAAATTTCCTCCAGCAATCTATCAATAATCTGATAACTCATACAAGATTTGGGAGGAAAAAGTTTGCTTAAAAATAGCCCCAGTATTCCCAAAGGTATTTTAAGTCATGCCAATTAAAATCATCTAACTCAAAGATCGGATCAGTCAGTGCTGCTACCGTCTGTTGCAATGCTGTGACCACATCAGTAGTCCTGGCAGGAGACATCCTAATTAATTTCTTTTTCTCGCGTTGGATTTAATAGCATATCAAACAGATATCAAAATGAGATGATCTTTTGCAAACATAGCCCTTCTTTATTTACTCTTAATTCATATTAAATGGCAGCACTTGCTATTTGGAGTGTAATGAAGTGTCCTGTGGTGGAAGCAGTGGTGTTATTAGCATTAGTGTCAACAGCTAACTTTTCTTATTTACTCCTTGCTTCCAGCGCTCTGCATTTGTAATACAGCTCCAGCAGGTCATTTCATTCTCTCAGACACATGAGAGTAGGAAGAGGAAAGAACCTCCCCAGGGCGCCCCACTCATCCCTGGTGGAGCTCAGAGGGGATGCACTGTTCTGAATCATGTCTCTTTGTGCTGGTGCAGGTGTTCATGCTGGACACCCAATGCTCACCGAAGACCCCAAACAACTTCGATCATGCCCAGTCCTGTCAGCTCATCATTGAACTACCCCCTGATGAGAAGCCAAATGGACACACCAAGAAAAGGTAAGCTGCTGAAGACTGACACATGGGACATTGCAGATCAGACAGGGAACTTCTTTGCCAGTCATGCCCAGCATCACCAAGCTCAGCCATGCATACTCTGACTACACACAGCCATTTAGCAAAGAATTTTGTGCAAACCCTTAGCTTTGGAACTGAATGCTCCACATTCGTTTTTGTGTTTGTATGCTTGGACTGCCATAACTAAGTAACTTAAATAAGGTGGCTTACACAAAAATGTATTTTCTCACCTCTCTGAGGGCTGGGAGTTAGGAAGTAGGGTGTGTTCTGAGCCTTCTCTCCTGGCTTGCAGTGCTGCCTTCTCCCTGGGCATTCACACAATCTTTTCCCTGGATGTGTCCATGGCCAGGTCTCTTCTTTCAGAGACAACAGTCCTACAAGATTTTAGGGCCCACTTAGTGACTTCATTCTGACCCTTGCTCCAAATATAGTCACTGCTCAGGGATTAGAAGACAGGACTTGAAAGTATAAATTTAGGGGAAAATAGTTCAGCCCGTAGCACTGTACTTACAATCATCTTTTAAAACAAATCCCAAGTGGGTGAAGATGCTTTAAAGTCTCTTGGGATACCCACATCTGTGCCTGAGTACCTGAGTCCACATCCTGGGAGGCAGGCAATGATGACGCATGTGACTGGGTTTCTGCCACTCACGTGGGAAACTCACATTGAGGGCCTGCTTCCCAGCTTTGTCCTGACCCAGCCCTAACCCTCACAAGTGATTGGGAATTTTCTCTCCCGAAACAATAATTGTTCCAACAGTAATTGGTTCAGATTGTTTCAGTGAGGAACACATAAATTGTGTAAGCAAGGTAACTGTCAGGAGACAAAAACATCTGTGTCTTGCTATGATAAATGTGCCCCTTTCAAATAGTAACATCCTGTCTAACACATATTGTTGATGAAGTTGATAAGCTATTATCAACTTCTGACCACTGACAGTAATGATGGTGGGCATTTGAACACTGTGGGTGAGGTGTAGCAGAGGGTACTTCCACACACATTGTATACATGAGAATGCATTCAGAGAAGCTGGGTCACTTACCCAAGGGCATGTGACTGCCATTTGGAGCACCAGAATCAAACCGGGTCTGGTGGAGCCCAAGCATCTGACCTGAGCCACTTGCAAGTGCAATGACCTAATGCTGGGTCCTGCATCCCCCACACATCCATGCATAAATTCTAGCCCCCCAGCATGATGATTTAATGGGTAGCACCTCTGGGAGGAGAGCAAAAGTCAGTCCTCACCTAAACCTCCAGAGCTGTGAGACATGAGCCAACCAGTCACTAGGATATTATTACAGCAGCTCAGGCTAAGATATTTGATGTCATTCCCCAGGATCTAGATAATCTATCCAAGTGTTAGCAAGGCAATTAGATTGCTGTCCTAACTAGCCAACATAACTTAGAAATGTCACCCAAGTTCTAATGTTTCTAGGCATGTGTTTTGTGTGAAACAGCATGTAGAATGTTGAGATTATAAACCCTGAATGGAAACTAACTATGGACTTAGCACCGCACTTCAGAAATAGAATTTTTCCAGAATATCCCCTATTCTTCCCAGTTCTATCCCTGACTCCTTCAACTGCCACTCACTGCTTTGTAAGTGTTGGTCATATATATCTGTTTATAGGTCCAAGGTTGTAGGATTCTTTCACATCTTTAAGCATTGATATGTTTTTGCCCCCATTTTACATGACTGTTTTACTTGCAACATATTAATTTTAAGTATTTTTAAGACACAAGTGGGAAAAATAGGCTAAAATTTATAGATAAAATAGAAAATATTAACCTAATATATTACTGGCTTAGAAGATTTTAGAGGTTAAGATTTAAAAATACAGCAAATTTGGCTGATAAAATCACTTGCCACTTTTAATATGGAATCACCCACTCACTGGATTAAGTAAGATGAGGAAAGCATATTAAATCCTTCAGCCAACTCCATTGAGCCAAAAGATATTCTCTAACGTTAAGAGCTCTCAGCCAGACTACATTCTCTGTATTTCCTACTCTTGTGTTTGACTCTAAAAAGCAATTGCTAACACAGGGGGGAGAATGGAGTGGATGAAGAGGGATGCCTAAGCAAAATGTGTTGTATCTGATTAGGTACAACATGGACTTTATAAGGTCCATGTTAAAGATCACCTGTGGAAAAACTCAAATTACAGCATTTAATAGAAGAGATGTTCGTGCATTTAATAGCTTTGACATTGATAGCCCAAAGCTTTACACAATGCACATCATCTTAATTAGGTTGAAGAGGTACTTGAAACCATGGGTGTTTATCTGTGATCCTGACACTGGCATCTGTTAAGTCAGTTGCTTGTTAAGCACTGAGAGCTACATGCTCCAGACTGATTTGTCTTGCCTCCAAAGTGAGACTGTCTTCTTAAAAGGGATGAAGCACCTGAGTGTAACAAATTAGGAAAAGGTAGGTTTTCTCTGAGACCTTTCTTGTCTCCTGGGGAGGAGGGTGAAGGGTTGTGTCACTGTAGATTAGTATTTCCCTATTTTTCTGGGATTTTGCTGTCTTCAATCTTGCTGGCCCTTCCACTGTGTTTTTCTGTTACTATATCTTACATGCACAGTTAGTTAACAGTTATCTTAAAGAATCAAAGAGACAATCTTGATTGGTAACGTTATTTGAGTATTTGCTGGAGAACAGCTTTCCATTTCTCAGGGAAGGTGATGTAAAAAAGCCTCATGTGCTAAGGGGTTTATTAGTGTTTGTGTGAAAGTCAGAGCGACAGAGGGAGGGATGTTTTCCACTTGCTTGTTCACTCTTCAAGTGCCTGCAATAGGTGGGACTGGGCCAGGTGGAAATAAAAAACCAGGAACTCACCTGGATGCCCCCATGGGTGGCTGGGAAAACCCAGACTGCTGAGTCATTACCGATGCTTCCCAGGCATGTCATCAGCAACTGGAACAGAACCAGAGGCAGGATTTGAACCAGGCACTCTGACAAGGGATGTGGGCTCCAAACAGCGGCTTACCCCACTGTGCCACAATGCCCACCCAATGCTGAGAGTTGTACACCTGCAGAAGGCTGATCCAACTCACCCATCGGGAATGCATTCCCATCTCAGCAGTCCAGAGCCATCTCCTAAGGGGAACAGTTCTGTACAAGGAGCTAGCTCCCACAGCCAGTCTGGTCTGGCTTGTTGTGGAGATGAGGAGTGCTGGTGTCACTGGACACTTTCCTAAGGCACTGGGAACGAGATGCCCCTCCCTGTCCCTTGAGAGTGTGACAGCATACAGAGGACAGTGAACAAGGACTTGACTTGGCTAATCAGGGAAGGAGTCCCTTTCTTAGCTAGGATGCCGTGATGATAGACGTGAAGCCCTGGCTTGTGCTGGTAGCTTTTAGATCCCCCTTCTGCATGTCACTCTGTCGAATAAAATGAAAAGCTTAACAGGGAGGGAGAGTCTGGTTACTACTTTTGAATATGAGTCCTTTGTTCATCACTTCATCTTTGCCCCTTGATTACAGTTGTCGTTAAGGGAAAACACATTACTCTGCAGTCAGCATTTACATGTATAGAAGGATTTGTATGCCTTTCTGCTAAAGATCACAACCCAAAGTCAAGGTCATAGCAAGACACAGAGCAAAGCAAGAAAATATTAACAAGCTGGGCAGATCTTTGAAATCAATATAAGGAAGTTTGTTATAATTTTATAATTATCCAGTTAGCAACAGGTGGTACAAGTTGTTTGCACAAAACTAACAGCAAGGAGAAGCACATGCAAACACCCTCGTGAATTCAATGTGGTGTACACAATACCTGGAATTGAAATTGTCGTCTTCATACTACAATCTCCAAACAAAACAAGCTGAATCCCCAAGTAGGCAGCATTCACTTCTAATGCTTCCTTATCCTGTGGTACCCTGGGTAAGGAAAGTACAGAAAACTGTGATTCTGCATGGGAGTGAGTGACTATTTCTCAGCCAGACCTCTCTGGACCATACAAGGTTTACAAAGGAAGTCTTGGCCATGTGTGCTGGCAGGAGACCAGTCTGTGTTCAGAGAAATGTTGTACTTCTACCTGGTTTTGTATGAGAAGGCCATGAGTTAAAACATATAGCTAACATATAGCTTAACGTGTTTCATAGTGCCTTGATTTTGGCAAGTATCAGAAATTCTAATATTGTTCAAAAGTTTATGTGTAAGAGAGTTATGTTTGTTTTAAAGAAAGCCTTTGACTGTAAATACAAATTGAGCATCCCTTACCTGAAATGCTTGGGACCAAAAGTTTTGATTTTTACAGTCTGGGAAATTCTGTAGACTGTTGTGCATCTCTAATCCCCGGATGTGATGTGCCTCAAATCCAAAGCTTTTTGAGGACCATCCAGGTTTTAGCAGAGTTTGCTCAGTGCATAGTTGAATTCGCATCTCCACCATGGATGGTGCCGAATTGGGTGTGATGTCTGCAGGGCTCTGGAGTGACTGCTGACGGCGCTCTTTCTTTGCCTGTGAAGCGTCTCTTTCAGGGAAATTGTGGTGAGCTTACTGTCTCATCAAGTACTTCTCCAGAACCTGTACGATATATTGCTGGAAGAGTTTGTCAAAGGCCCCTCACCAGGGGAGGACAAGACCGTCCAAGTCCCAGAAGCCAAGTTGGCCGGCTTCCTCAGGTACATCTCCATGCAGAACCTAGCTGTCATCTTTGACCTGCTGCTGGACTCCTACAGGACAGCGCGCGAGTTTGACACCAGCCCGGGCCTGAAGTGCCTGCTCAAGAAAGTGTCTGGCATCGGTGGCGCCGCCAACCTCTACCGCCAGTCCGCAATGAGCTTCAACATCTACTTCCACGCCCTGGTGTGCGCCGTGCTCACCAACCAGGAGGCCATCACGGCTGAGCAGGTGAAGAAGGTCCTCTTTGAGGACGATGAGCGCAGCTCCGATTCGTCGCAACAGTGCTCCTCTGAGGATGAGGACATCTTTGAGGAGACTGCGCAGGTGAGCCCACCCAGGGGGAAGGAGAAGCGCAGGTGGAGGGCCCGCCTTCCCTCCCTGAGCGTACAGCCAGTGAGCAACGCCGACTGGGTGTGGCTGGTCAAGCGGCTGCACAAACTGTGCATGGAGCTGTGCACTCATTACATACAAATGCACCTGGACCTGGAGAACAGCCTAGAGGAGCCGCCCACCTTCAAGAGTGACCCCTTCTTCATTCTGCCCTCCTTCCAGTCCGAGTCGTCCACGCCATCCACTGGTGGCTTCTCTGGCAAGGATACACCATCCGAGGACGACCGCAGCCAGCTCCGGGAGCATGGGGGTGAGTCACTGCTGGGCTTGCGTGCTGCCAGCGGGGACGGGCTGATGCTGCCCCCCAGTCCCAAAGTGGAGAAGAAGGACCCCAGCAAGAAGAAGGAATGGTGGGAGAACGCGGGTAACAAGATCTACACCATGGCGGCAGACAGAACCATCTCCAAGCTGATGACGGAATACAAGAGGAGGAAACAGCAGCACAATCTGCCTACCTTCCCCAAAGACGGCAAAGGCGAGAAGAAGGGTGAGGTTCTGGGACCACGGGGCCCTGACTCACCGCTGCCTCAGCGGCCACAGCACTTGATGGACCAGGGCCAGATGCGACACTCCCTCAGTGCAGGCCCCGAGCTGCTGCGACAGGACAAGAGGCCTCGCTCCGGCTCCACCGGCAGTTCTCTGAGCATCTCCATCCGAGATGCTGAGGCCCAGATCCAGGTGAGGCAAATCCCCTCCAGCAGCCCCACACACAGCGTGTTCCAAGGTGGGACAAAAGAGCACACAGAACCCAACTTGTGTCTGCTCAAGGGCACGACAGAGGCCCGGTGTTGTAGGGCAAAAGTAAAATTCTGTTGTGACTTATTCACACCTGATTGAATATCTGGGATTTGAGAATTGGGAACGCTCTTTTTGTCCAAATAAACCTAAAGCTAGGAAAACCAACAAATCTTAACAAGTCTTGTTTAACAGTATTGTTCCATTTTCAGAAGAGGAGAGAAGGGAAATGAAAAAAAAGACCTAGAGAAAGCCCTCCAAAAAGTAATCTGAATATCTTTTTTAAAAAGTAGATTTTTGTCATGGATTGCTCCAAAGACCTAGGACCACATATGGGAATATTTTAATGCTAAAAATAAATATAATTCAATAAGTACCACCCTAGACTTTTGGAAGTTTCTTGTCAAACTGAGATTCTTGGTTAATGCTTTAATAGAGGACCTTCTTAAAGCATACGTATGAATTGATGTCTCAGGTCTTGGATTTTGCTTACGATTTCATTAAAGTTATCCTAAATTAAGGCAGAACTAATCTAAGTTATCTTATATTAGCATGTAACTAATGGAAATTTTTTGTGGAAAGATAAGAAATGGGATTTTAGTTTGGGAAAGCTGGAAATTAGGTATTCCAGATGTTACATGAGTCTACCCATTTTTACATATGTGAGGTTAAAATGAGTTTGTTACAGGTATATTAAATCAGCAATGACTAATTTATTGCAGCTAAAGTCAGGGAAAACCTACTTCTAGACTGTCAGTGTTAGCCACACTCAAGCATTCCAATGAAACTGGGAGAGTGTAAAACCAGTAATTTTGTTAAATCCTTTCTCGTAGGCATGGACAAACATGGTGCTAACAGTTCTCAACCAGATTCAGATCCTGCCAGACCAGACCTTCATGGCCCTGCAGCCAGCAGTGTTCCCTTGCATCAGCCAGCTGACCTGTCATGTGACTGACATCCGAGTCCGCCAGGCTGTGAGAGAGTGGCTGGGCAGAGTGGGTCGGGTCTATGACATCATTGTGTAGAAGACTCGACTTCTGTGCCCGAGCAAAGTCCTATGGATAGCATTTTCTGCACCACCAGCCCCACTTACACCAGTGTCTGGGAGAAGCAGGTGCCCTGAATATGAGAGCCTTGGTAGCCAGTCTGCAACAGATCAGCATGGAGCCTCTCTGGATTACTATTAAGGCTGTGTCTAGTTGGTGTAGATGATGCTCTGAGCTTGCACGTTACTACACAAGCATCTACATTCCTTGATACATTTCTAAATCTGGCTTTTGTTTCCAGAAATGTGTTAGCAGTGTTGTCTCCAGATGCTCACTTTCAAAGCCCTCCTTCCTGCTCTTGAGAACACTACATTCATCTATCATTTTAACAATACATACAATATGGGCTGGTAAGCCAACCTGATCTACAAACACACAGACATCTAGTACCCAACGTTGTGAAGTGGAGAAAAGACTTACATTAGTATTATGGGTTGGGCTAGGAAGAAAGCAACAACAAAAAATATACACTTGAAATTCATACTCAAGAAAGAAATGGCTTCTATGTGTCAGAACATTTCAGAAATATTACTCAGTTGTTAATATTTTCAAGTTGTACTCACAGCTTCCTCATGTAAATTACTTTGTGCCTTTTGTTTTTCCATTTCTAAAAAAAAAAAAAAATTCTTTCCTGGTAGGGTTTGAAGTCTGTGGCTTGGCAGATTTGACAGATCCCACAGTATTGTCAAGAGATGGAAGATGGACTAGCTACTCTAGTTGTCTTGTTCATCTTTGCTTCTGCTCCTAAGCAGGCAAGGAAAGAAAAAAGGGTGCCTTAGGTCTTTGTTGCACAGATACTCCTAGTCCCCACCTCCCGGTTATCTAAGAGTAAGATACGCTATTTTTTAGTGAATAAGAAAACAAAGCATTAAAATACAACTCATCTGTTTGCAACATCCTTGAAGGAAAGAAACTCCATTCAGTGAGCACATTTCTCAGGGAAGGGGCAGGAAGTGTGGGGGAGGGAATCAGCTGAAAGGGAATTAAGTCAGTTTAAATCTCAAAATATGATCCTACAGTCATGTACAATTGGGGTGTCAGTTATCAAGGAGTCTCATTTTAAACATAAAGGACACTGAATTTTAGAAAATGAGCTTTCTATTTTTAAAACATTTCTCCTCTCCAGAAAAGTAAGTTATTCTGTATCTGAAGCCTTTATTCAGGTGTTTTTCCTTAGCATTAGAAAATATATACAATATATTTTCTGTATCTTACATCATAGTTACAAACTCAACAAAATCCACTTATAAACATACTAGAATATAGTGTTGGTTGTGAAGGAAGCTATCATGATTTCCCAGCCCCCCAAAACTATTCATCCTGGGTGACATCATCCCTTCAAAGGTATAGGAAGACTTCCAAAATTAGTGTAAAAAGTAAAAAATTCTGCAACATGAAAGTCAGAACTTAAAATGGATTGGGCTTTATCTAACAATGATACTTGTAAACTTTGCACTCTTGAAGCTTGTGGACATGCACAAAGCTAGGAGGGAGGCAGGGTGTTCTAATTAGGGAGATGAGGCCCAAGAAAGAACTCCATCATTCAGCATACCATCTGGAAAGCACTCTGGGACCTTAGTGAGGGAAAAAGGAAGACCAAGGGTATTTTTCTGGAACTAGACAGTAATTCAAGTCTAGAAACACCTTTGCTCGTTTGATCTGAACAGCTAATGAATTATTGGACTAGCAATAAGCTGTGTTCTACACTTTCAATTTTTAACTTTGGAATTTAAAGTTGGTACATGCTTTTCTCCAACTCAGGCAGTACACTGTGGTGGTTCACCTTCCTTTTCGTAGTTTCTCTGTTCTGCACTGTGAGGGTGCATGTACTCCCTCATGAACCACTGCAGTGGAGTCAAGTATCGGAGCCCCCACACACTGTATGTGCACAGCCACTTCTCAAAATATGGAAGGCCCAGGATGCCACTGTCAGTGTGCTAGGATCATGTCCCAGAATGTGAGTTAATTGCTTAGATAGCTGAATTTGTTCTCGAACAGGACATTTAGCTCCTAAAAATGAGTTTGCCCTGCACTCTGTTCAAACACTGTTCCAAGACGAGGCTGACTGTGGATAGCAAGAATAAAGAGGGAGGATGTGTATAACTACCGACCCACAGTTTTAAAAGAGCTCTGATACTTTCCCATCATTATACCCGTGGCCCCCACTTGTGAGGCCCGCACTACACTTAGGACCCTTGTTCCTCATACACTCTGCCAGTCAGACCTACCTGACTTACACATCACATCAAGCTTCAGCCAGCAAAGCAGATAAGCCACAGTACTCCCCAGAGGTACCTGCAGCTTTGAAAATCACATTGCTCCATGCAGAGTAGTCAGAGGTCAGAGCACGACTCAGCAGGTGGGGAAGAACTGCAGGTGATCAGCAATACTCCGTAGGCACTTCCCCTCACGTCTCCGCTTTTACCTTTCCCTTCTCTTCCTTCACACTCTTTCACCATCTGAAAATCTAAGGTATTTCTACTTCAGAATCATTTGAGGCGACATGAAGACCAAGGCTTGGGCAACCTTTTGAAGCTGTAAGTCACGCCTAGCCTAAGATTGGGCAGTCAACAACAGTGTGTGCAAAGTGTATTACTCTACAGGTGGAATTTGTATCTCTTACGTCTTAATCAAGCATGCTTTATGAAAAGAAGCATCTGGAAGATTCTGAAGTGGAAGGAATACCTGATTGATCCACCCAGCCATGCACATATGCTCTTTGCCCTAGTTCTCTCTGCCCTTTTGAAGGGCATGGGTTTTGATGTTACAGAATATATACACTGGTCATAGGATCTTGCATCTCCTCATCACCCTTAACAGATGTGGAGGCTGCCTTTTTACACCATCTTATCTCCCTGCCCTCCTCATTTTCCAGCCTCTTCCACAGTTTAAAACTAGATCATTCACGTTTTGAGGACTGTTTACTGACTGACCAGTAGGAACCCAGGTGTGCGCTAATATGCAACTCAGGTGGCAATATTTTAAATTAACTATGACAAAACGTTAATACTAAAGGACATTGAAATCAAAAATTTTGATCACTGGGATTTTTGTTGTTCTTTTTGCTTTAAGAAGGCTCATTTTCCAGAGTCAGCAGAAATAAAGCCTCAATTGTGAGGACATAATTCCGTCATAGAACAGACACTTCTGCTTTTCCTAGAAACACACTAGTAGTGCATATAAAGGAAGATTTTCAGAATGGGAACTCCATTCGTGTCAGTTTCACCAAGCCAAGTAGAAATAAGACTTCTGTATAAAACTTGCACTAGCAAGAGATCCAGACAGCAGGGAGGAGGTGATCTCTGTGGAGTGCCACTGCCAATGAATACCTTCCACTTCATGCTACTATATTCAGTTCCCTCAGTGACCTTGGGAAACAGCTCTTCTTTTCTCAGCTTTTAAAATGAGGCCACAGATTCAGAGAAGTTAAGAAACTTGTCCAAGATAATAAGTAAAAGGTCAAGTTGGTTGCCACATGTTCACCACCACACACACTATGCTCAAAGGAAGTGTGGGAAAGGGACAGATGACAATATTTCACATTCCAGATCTCTCTGGGATGTTCTGGGGAGCTTATAAAATACAGTTTAAAAAATTGAAATAGTGTGTATGTGTAGAAAGATCACATATGTGTATAGCATGTTTTTAGGAATCAAAGGAAAATAAATCACAAAACTTAATGATAAAGCAAATATTCTAGATTACCCAGGAAAACTCACCAAATTAGGTAAAAATGGCAGAATGGCATTGTTGATGGCTAGCTAGTAATTCAGAAGAAAAACAGCGGCCTGCATCCACAATGGCATACCTTTTCCATACCATTTGATCAACTCAGAATAAAGTGCCCTGGAGCCAACAGTGCCTCTTTACTTCTCTGGGAAATACACGGCACTAAATGTTTAAGTCAATATCAAAGTTTGGAAATATGCAAATGCTAATCACTTTTCAAAATGTACATTCTCTCAGAGCAAGCAACAGGTTGGATAAGATTAAGATCCAGGTACCAAGGGTGACTGGTGGGTACCCATAGCAACCACAGATCCTACCACCTGAGTAGTCCTTCCGCTGGACAAGGAAACACACAGAGGGGGCATCCAGAGTCCTGCAGGTAGTAGGTGACTAAACATCAAGATGCATAGGTACCACTGAAGTCAGCCCAGTGAGATTTAGTGTAGCATTACAAACAGAACATTTCAAGTACTTTTGATTAGCTATAGAAGCTTACTATTGGGAGAGATTTGTAAAACTGGCACATATATGTATGCCTTCAGGAAAGAAAAATCATTCTCCTTATTTGCTAGATACAGAAAACATGTTGGGTTGGTTTGGGAGAACCCCTTCCTCCGGCCATGTCATAGTGTTTGCGTTTGATATGGAAGTAACTGATAACTGTTTCCGTTCTAAAACCTGGATAAAAAGTTTAGATTTCCAAGACAGTCATTTCACTGAAGACAGGCAAAAAAAAAAAAAATCCAGCCCCTAACACTGTCTAGCAAAATCTCAGTTGAAAACAATGCTCAGATTTCCTTCTTAATGGCACATCACTTATTAAGTGAACAAAAACCATGACCACAACATGCATCATAAAACCTTTTTCCCTGGATCTTTGTGTAAAAACACAAAGGCATTCCAGGGAGGAGAGAATGGTTTAGCATTTTAGTGGCACAACCTCATGCACCGGCTCGTGAGGCCCATCTAACCAAGGCCTTTCCATCCTGTTCAACTGCCACCAGTTGAACGCCCACCAGTAGAATCCCTTGTGCTTCGAGCAGAGGGTCTCAACCTTTAGCACACATCAGAGTCACATGCAGGACTGCTGAAGCAAGGATTGCTGTGCCCATGCTCAGAGTTCCTACCTGAACTGAAAACTGGCATTTCTAACAAATTCTCAGGTAAGGAACTTGCTGACAGTCTTGGGACTAGGCTTTGAGGATTGCTGCCTTGAAAGATTTGCCAATGGCTATCTTGAAGATCAGCCTGACTTATCGAGCCTAGAAGAAAAAGAAAAACACAGAGCTGACCCTTGGGCAGACACCTGGGAATTGGATTCCCTATAGCACCCCTGCTTAATCTCCCCTATTCCCGGTTTTACTACACAAACAACTGATTTTTACAAGCTAGAAGACAATGAATGTATATTTAAGCCGTGAAATTAAGCTTCTTGTCTTTGTACTTAGAAATTTCGATTCTATGGAT